TGTTGGATTAGATTAGTTCTCTCCGTTTTTCAAATCGGCAAAGATATGTGTTTAATATTCCCCTCAATTTGAAAGTAAAAAAATGTACTGGTAATGAGAAGAAAATTAAATGTTAGTTTCCTATTTTTTGTCGAACAAAAAAACGTCAATTTTTAAATTATCCTTTTAAATGCCGCATATTTTATCTTAAATTGGCTATAAGGTAAATGTATATCTGAAATTATATATTTCAAATTCCTGAGTTTGGAGTAGCGTTGGCAACAGTGCATCAAATGTTTTAGAAATTAAAATAGAAAGACTTTTGTGTTTTTACGTAGGCGAAGTTGTATACACCACTTTCTGTTTTAACCAATTATTTTTAATCAAACTGTATTTTAACAGTTTGATTAAAAAATCATTTTAACAAAAAATAACTGCCAAAATAATACATTCCCACTAAACATTTTTCAGTTTCTGACATGTTTTAGAAACATTTCCATTTTTCTTGAAACGTTTCATAAAAAATCCATGCAACGTTCTGGTAACGTTCTAGAAGCCCAAGATGTCCTCCCCAAAATACGTTTCCAATGAAACGTTTCAAAAAATTGGTTTCAGTAACATTCTTTTTATGTTCCATTTATGCCCTCGATATTTTTGTTTTACGTTTCAGTATATTTTCAGAAATGTTTGAGTAACATAATAATTTTATTACCATATTGTTCTCATAATGCTCTCAACTTTAGATCATTTTCATTTCAAAAGCGTTTTTGAAATAGTATAAATAGTGTGAGTATTTTTTTAAATATCTCTAATACTCCTTTGTGATATTTTTATTTGTATTGTGAATGACTTAATTCGAACTAAAAAAAGTTACATTGTATATTAAAAAAAATAAATATGCTCTTCTAGTTTGGGGATGCGGCAACTTTTACTAAGAATTTCTTTCTTTTTGAGAAGCCACTGAAAAAAGTTTCTAATATGGATTATGAATTTTGCCATTCATCGTACAAATAAAAATATCACAAAACAATATCAGAAGCATTAAAAAAAAGCTACACATTTTATATAGTTCAAATACGCTTCTGAAATGGAAATTTTCTAATGTTGAGACCTTCATGAATATGGTAACAATGACGAACTGATAATTAGAAAAAGTTAGTTATGATTATGAATCTTAAAATGGTAGGTACATGAAAAACAAATAACATTACTGAAAAATAATATAAAGTTATAATTTCTTCTACGCATGGTCAATATTACATATATCCTTTTAATAATAATAAATTATACAGCAGAAATAAGGATACAAAATGATATCTTGACAAAGTAAATATCTGTAGGTATACCTAAACTCTTTTATTTAAGCATGCCTATACACATAAACAAATATAAACATTTGTACAAAATATAAAATAAATGACGTCTATTTCACTTGATTCATCCATATTTCAAATAGTTCTCACTGACTAAGTAGTTGCTCTTCAAATTATATCGAAACGTATAGTTGTTGTTCCATTTTCTTAGTTCTTGTCCCTTGTCCTCTTGTCTGTAATAGGTAGTGGGTATAACTATATTTAGGTAGATGTGACGCAAAATTGGAAATCTCTTTACACATATCGTTTTAAACATTTTGCATCAATATTCATTATTTTATATGCACCTTACAATAACCACAACTGCACACACTACAAATTATCACATAAAATAGCGTCAAAGTAAAGATGAATAACAACGAAACCAAGCAAACTGACAAACCGCAAACCTAACCTAACATAATACGAATTGAAACGACACACGGGAAACAAATAAACTCGGGCTGTTACGCGCAGTCTACGCAAGTCACGAACATACATTTTTTCTAGACTTGTGTTATAAATATGCTACCACATTTTTTTTTCTAATTATGTCTTTATATAACAAAGGCAAATGAACTAACGCTTGAGAAGGATTGGGGATTGAGAGCAAAATTTAACTAATGCCGAATGTTCCATAAGATAAGCAAAAATAGCAAAGGGTTGTTCGTCTGTTATGTTTCCGAGATCGAAAGGGAATGTTTCGAGTAATGTTTCAAACTCTCTTCAATTGTAACGTTTCGGCTATGTTTCACTAAATAAGTTTTCAAGTGCTATATTTCTGTAATGAAACAGAAAAGTTTCTAGTTAATGTTTCAAATGTTTAGTAAAACATCTCATTTGCAACGTTTCATTTACGTTTCGTGTTTAGTGGGTTATATTATTACAAGTGATATACGTTGCGGTTTTTTTAACGAAAAATAAACTTTTAGGTTATTTTAAATCAAGCAGTCAAATCTTGATTGTCGACGTCGGTCATCATGAATGGTTGTTGATGAATAACAAATTTTGTCATTTTCATTTTGACGCGTGTGTAGAACAATTTAATGTTATAAAAACCTCTTGAGAACAAAGAGGAGGTTGATTTCTTCTTTTAATTGCCGTAAAAATAAACTTTATTTAATGTAAAAAGAGCGAGTTCCCGAGCAGCTTTTAACTGACCCTGGAACAATTTATTTCTAACGCATTTTTGCACATTCTTTGTTAGTTGAAAAGAGACCAACTTAATTTCAACTTTTTTCTCTTCCGATACGTTTCCTTAAATCCATTGTAACCTATATCTACGATATCAACTTAGAAAATTAACGTTTAATAATTAAACAATTAGTTGGCAGAAAAACGAACGAAGCTTTCTTAGATTTGAAGACTTTGGCCACACCTGGCCGCTGGCGCTCGCAAAAAAACTATTTTTGAATAGAAAAGCGAGAATTAGCAACCCAGAAAATAAAAAATAACTTTTAGCGTATTTCTGTGTATTAAATTTGTCAGCTATAAAATTGTTATTCGGATTGAAACATAAATAAACCACTTTTGAGTCATGGCAACCGTTATATACATATTGAGGTTAAAATTAATAGACTCATTCCATTTAGATGTTCCGTTCACTTTTATCGCGACCCCATAGAAGGTAAATCAGTTAATCTGAAAGAATTCGCCAAATTTTTAAAAGGAAACCATGGATTATTTCTCGATACGCCCCTGGGCCAAGTCTACAAGACGTTTTGAATTAGCCAGTCTCCTCCGATGAGCATTTCTCGAGCAGAATGGGAGCTCTTGTTAGAAATTGGCCACCGTAAAATGAACGCAGACGCTTTCATGACTGGCCGTTTGGTCTGGACACGAATGACACGATATAATGAGACGGCTAAACTCTTAAAATCTGCTGGGGATAGGACCAGAAGACCTTACGAGATTTCGCTCGCCCGTGATGCGTGACGAATGAATTTTGAGGCTGAGAATGGTATTGATAATTGCGAGTGGTTATTAAAAACTATTTGGTGGAAGGTGTAAACGAGTTCCTTGGCCTTTTCTAACGTAACAGCTTTCGCGATGTGACTAATACGTTGATAGAGAAATGTAAATATCTCTAATGGAATAGAATAACGTTCGTTTTTTTTTTGTAACAGTCAGTTGAAGTGAACTCTTCGGTAAAGAATAAAACAGGTTGGGATACAGTACACAAAAATACGTTTAGGATATATTTTGTTTAAATAATTACTCGTAAATTAGGATAATAAGCAAAACAAAATTGGAATACCAGAAAATTGCCGTTTAAATTTATCGACAGAACAGACGTATGCAATTTTACTCCAGTCAAATTAGAGTTTGAACGTGAAAAAGTTATTCGTAATATGGCATCGCCAGAAAATCTTCCACTGTATAAAAGCAAAACCTAAGCAAATGCTTCTTAACTACTCATTTAAAACGTGTCATGTTTAACAGTCTAACGGAGTATGGAAGTTTGTTATAAAGCTTCACATTTAAAGAATTATGTGCTGATTTGGATAGACGGAAGCCATCAGCTCTAAGCATATTAGAATTTCTTGTATTATGACTGTGAATATCTGACTACAATGCAAATCTGGTTATATTCTTATGAATTTCAACAACCTGGAAAAAATATATATAAACAAGGAAGGGGTAAAATACCAAGGGAAATAAAAAATGGTTGACAAAGTTCTTTGCTATTCACATTAGCTATGACTCTAATTGATTTCTTTTGCAAGCAAACAGCGCATTATTATTGCAAAACGCGATGGATGCTGATAAAATTTATGTTAAAGACGGTCAATCCAAAGACCAACATGTGTGCCAAAGGCCGATTCGATTGACCGTGAAATTGTTGCTCTAGGTTCTAGGTATTTGTTAAATGATGTCGTTCATTTTTTTGCAACTAATTGTTTAATTACTGAACATTAATTTTAGAAGTTAATATCGAAGATATAGGTTTTAATTGATCCAAAGAAACGTATCGAAAAAGAAAAATATCAAAAAGTTGATATTAAGTAGCCCTTTACAACTAACAAAGTATGACGTGCAAAACACCGTTATAAACAAATTGTCCCAGGGTCAGGCAAAAGCCGCTCGGCAATTCGCTCTTTTTGCATTAAATTAAACTTATTTTTACGGTAATTAAAAAAAAAAGAAAATTCTCCTACGCCTCTTTGTTCCCAAGATAGCTTTTTTATAACGTTAATAATTAATTGGAACTATTGGACGTATCGGACCGGGATTTTAGAGACAATTAAAGAAATGGTTAAACTTTTATTTTCATAAAGTTGTGCATTCATTGTTCATGTAATAAACACGCTAGCAGCTGTAAAAGTTAACGTTAATAAATGGCCTGCACGCGGGAGATTTTTGACATGAAAGTTTCTAATTCGGTTCTACTAATCGAATATTTTCTAACAGACTTCATAATGTTCCACATGCGCGTCAAAATGAAAAGCAGGTAATAATAATAAAAATATTTAAGGTAGCTGTCCACTTTGTAGAAAATTGTGTTTGATAACTTAGAGATTCCTCAAGGTTCTGTCTTGGGTCCCATAGTAGACAATAGCTTATAATCTATAGTATTTGGAGTTGAAATGTAATAAAGAACTATATACTAACATACATTAAATTATAGTATTAATTTCTTTATTGATTATCATTGATCTGTTTTTGCAGGCAATGCAAGAGGTTCTCAAGATGCAGTCGGGGGACATGACCATCGAGTGGACCTACATGGACTCCAAGGACCTACCTGCTGTCGTCCTGCACGACAGACTCATGACAGACGCCGCTTTGGGCACTAGACCCATCAAGACGGAGCACTCGTACAGCCTGGCTTCTGACGGAGATTCACTGCCAAATTCGCCGATTTCACATCATAAAGTTGACGGTAAGGAAAGAGACAAAATACATTTCATAAGTTCAGAGTGTATATCAATATGAAAAACCTTGAATTGTCAGGGAATTCCATGGAAATGTCGGAGAATATCAGGGAATTTCTCAAATTTTTGTAGAATATGTATTTTCAAATTCCAATTGTAATTGTCTTTATTTGCAAGGTGCTAACACTATATGCGAAGTCGCTGAAAATTAAATTCGCTAATTCGCTACTACTATTAATTTTATGGCATTCATCTTGTGTCGTGTGTTTGTTGGTTGACTGTTATTAAGAATTAGTTTATGCTATTAATTTCTATTTCCATTTTCAAATTTAATTATTACTGTTATTATACAAAAAAGCTTAAATGAACCAAAGGATTTTAGTGCATAATTTAATATTACATACAACTAAAGGCTTGTTTACACGGGGACAATAGGTAAGTTGTAACTAAATTTTAAGTTACTGCTTTTTCTGCAAGTGCTGTTCGGACTGGTAAGTTCTAAGTTTAGTTGTTGGTAAGTTCTAGTGCAGTTTATATATTTGCAAACCTGACGAGATGAACGTGAGGCAGCAGTTTGTAGAAGAATTTAATGGCATACTACGCGATATCCTAAATATTATATTAGAAGAAATACATGAAGAAATATATGAAGAGAAAAAATAGACGTAAACGACTTTGGGAGCGAAAGTGGATCAGCAGGAGGGAAAAGTTCGGTGCAAGTCGTCAACTTGCACGAAAAAATAGAATAAATTCTATTCCAGTGTACTAAATTTTTACTTGCTCCATAACTTGTTACTTACCATATATGCGCTGTTCAAATAGGTTCAAGTGTCTTAAAATTTAGTTGACTGTTCCCGTGTAAACAAGCCATAATGGCTTGTTTACAAATATTTTTTTATCGACGTTTTAGTCGTTTTTATTTAGGCAAAATTACTTGACTTCCGTTTTCGTTTTAATTCTGTAATCTAAAACATATTTTACTTTTCGCTTTTCACAATATTACTGATAAGATACTAGTCAGGTTTGGGAAAGATTAAATTTAATACCACAGTCTAAAAATTCACGTCGTTCACGCGATTGCCACTAAGTTTTTTGAAGTTTTTTCTAGGAAATTTCCAACACAGATTTATTTTAATCTAAACAAAATGATAATACCATTATTTCTCATATTACATAATCCTTGCAGATTTTATTATTGTATTATTGTCAGGTTATTGGAAATGTTTGACAGTTTCCTAAAAATATTTGGTTTTTATATTCATTTTGCTAAATTTGCAATTTCAAACAAAACTTTGTGCATTATTTTGTTGAAGTTACCTAGGTTTAGTATATAACTCGTGTCAAGGTCTACGTTATCTACAAATACCATTTTCCAACTAATGTAACGTAAAACTAGTAGATACAGACATCATAAAAATTTTGTTAAGCCATTTCTGGTGACTTGCTTTTAAAAAACTCACACGCGCCAGACATTACTTAAGAGACGTGTAAATAAAAGTTAAACATACCATAAGATTTTGTTTCCAATTATTTGAACTCGAGCAACAGCTTTAATCATTTCTCGTGCAATTAAAATTTTATTCTACTTTGTAGTTATTACTCCACATATATATTTTTAATATTAACACGTACCTCCAGTGTAGGCATCTTAAGTCATTTACAAGCAATTATTAAGTCATGGCTGTGCAATTTTCAACATATATACATTTTAATGAGGATAATATCCATGTTTCATACCAGCCAGTGCGGTACCTAAGTAAAATTAAATTAAAAATTAATAGGGAAATTCTTGATACATTAATTTTTTTTTCGTTTTATTTTTCTGTATTTTATTCAAAAGTTTTAATTCTAAATCATCTATATCATTCTAATTTAATTGATACAGTTCATCACAGCGACATGCACCAGCAACACCAAATATTAAGGCAACAAAAAAAGGCAATATCTACAATATATTTCAAAATGTTCACATCTAAACGTTCCTTATTCATTAAGTACATATATTATCTGGTGCTTCAGCAATAAACGTTTCAAATTGTTTATTTGACAAACTTTTGACTTCTTTGGTTTATAGTTGTCACCTTGACGTTTCAGGAAAACACGTAATTTCAAATATTTTGATATGTCAATATTGTCAATGTCTACCTTCATACTAATTGTAAGTAGGAAACGATTTTTCATAAGCAATTAGATTGTAATGAAGAAATATTAGCTATGCATTAATAAAAATTTCTTAGTTCATATTAATTAATTAATATTGTTTGCGATTTCAGAAAAAAATTGTATGTGTAGAGTAGAAAAGCACATTCCCAGCGAATATTATCCGCGAATTTTGATTTTTATTTAAACACAAAAGTAAGACATTCATATAACAAAATCAAAATTTTAACTGCTCCTTTTTGTACAGTAAATACCTCATTAATGTGTGATTCACCTCGAATTATGATTTCATATGTCCATAATAGATTGTGAGTGGAGTATGTTTAACTATTTTTCTTTTACATGGTCTTTCCAAGATATTTATCATCAGTAACTTAAACTGAAATTGAAATTTATAGAAAATTTACACCATTGATTTTTATTTGCTTTGGATATTCATACTGGCTTTTACCATTGTATAAGTAAATATTTACTTATACAATGCTTTTACTATGCCAATTAATTGACTATAGGTATTTTTAATAAAATCAAATATTGTGGATTTTTTTTATTTCCATGTTGATAAATATTAATTATATTATGTATTACTCTTTTAAAAAAGTGATAAATCTTTTAGACATGGTAATTTTAAATAATTTAGAAATCATGGGGATGAAACTTATTGGTTTGTAATTTTCAATTAAACATGGATTTGCCTTTTTATCTGTATACAATGTGTTTCCCTTAAAATCGGAACACCTCCATATTTATTTGAAAATATTTTCCATTGTTAATACTGCAATGAGTGAAATTTTGCACCTATTTTGTGAACACCCTGTAAAAGCTATAATAATGAAACTTTGTATCTAAGGTTTTGAGATGTGATCAAATCGAAAAAGCTATCCATTTCTTTCTTAAAAAAAACCGCCTAATATGTTTTTTAATGTTTGAGGGTCTTTTCTTAATGATAGTAGGCCGTAGAAAAGATCACATGTCAAAAACATAATATCAAAAAGTAGCCTTTTTGAGTACTATCAAATAAAAAAGAATTTTGGAAGTAAGTCAACGCCATCCGAAATACGAAGATGTTCCAACTTTAAGTGAAACACACTGTATATTCAACCACAGCTAGTTTTAATATTTGTATGTACTTATTTATTACACAACACAATGGTTCAAAAATTTTTTCAAGCATAATACATATTTATATTATCTTTTCCACACGAATATTTGTTTTTTAAGCTTAAAATACATATGTACCTAGTTTCTGTATTTAATTTACAATGTTGATAACGTGACCAATATCTACATTTGCAGGAACGTTAGAAATCATCAGGCTATTAGCGACGTTAACGACAGTTATTACTAGTGTCAATTGAAAAGTTACCATGAAAATAAATTCAAAATATTTTATAAAAGTCTTCAAATGAAGTCAAACTTATGATATTCTGGAAACGACTTCTCTGATTTTGGTATCGTAGAACATAGTTTGATGTCTCTGATACGGTTTTAGAAAAAATTTTGAATTTATTTGCATAAGGTTAATATCTTATAAAAAAACTAAAAACACAAAAGCTTTAATAAAATATATATTTTTTTAAAGAGATGAATTAAAAAGGTCAAATATCGGTTAGGTAAAAAAATAATTCACACTTATCTAGTTGTATTTTCAACATTTTTGACATTGTCGTTTCAATATGTATTTTAATTTTTTCACAAAAATTATGTTTTTTATTGAATTGAAAGATTACATTATTTAACAATTACAATATGTCAGATATATGTTTTTATATTATCTAATTACAGTTAGACATATATTTTTTAACTTTTATTTTGAATAATTATTAATTATTAAGTGTTTTCTAGGTATTGTTAATGTAATTCAATGTTAGTTGGAACATGTAGCTCATAAAGTAGTTGTTTCCTACAATATCAACAGTTAGGAATCTTGTTTAGATACATATTTTGCATACCTAGGTTTTCAGTATTGAAGAATATTGTCCTAATCCATAGAGAATCCGAGAGCTATTAATTAAATATGTTTAAAAAAATAGCTCTATTTTGTTGTAAACGACTGATGTCTTGATACATTTGTTTCTCAAGTGTATTATGTAAATATGTTATTTCGCTTTAGTTATATCTTCTTAAATCCATTTACATGCATCGTTTATAATTTCGAGATTTTATGAGAAAAAAATTATTGTAAATATCACCTACTATAGCTGCTTCATATATTAAGCCTTCATAAATGACTATAATTCGATTCGTTTTTTTCTGCTTTAAATTTCACCGAGTTGCCAGATGTCTCGAAAATCCCTAAGTTAGAGACATTGGACATTTATCAAGTCGACTAAACCTCTCATTTGTTTCAGACATGGAAGACGAATGTTTCCCAGCCATCTCGATGAACACATCTTGCGTCAGATTACAGCACGAACCCGTCACGATAAAAGATGAGCCCACCAGCGAGACAGACAGCCCGCATTCGTCCTGCCCCTCATCGCCACAGTCCATATACGTCAACGCCAGCGACTTACCCCTGGACGTAGAGATGGTAAGTTAAAACTGAAAGTTTCTCATATCTCGTATTTCGAAATAAAAAAAAAATTTTTTAAACATTTTCAGTCACCACCGCACACGTCGATCCTGAAATCTGCCAACATAATGCTCACGTCCCCGCACACAATCATACCATCCAGATTACAGATGCCGACACAAAAATTGAACATCAAAATCGAGAACGGCAGCACCTTCCACCTACCTCCCACACCTCCGTCTTGTAGCAGCAGCGAAGACAGCGAGGACAACGCCACCATCTCGCAGCCGTCCTCACCCGCCGCCAGGAAAACTGCCGCCAGGATGGTTTTGAACCACCACACTTCAACTAGGCAGCCCATCAACACGCCTCTGATTAGTAGTCAGCCGGTAAGTGCAGTCGGTGACAAACAAACAAACGATACGTTACAAGTTACCACCATGCTTTTTTAAATTTTTTATAATTAATATTTTGCCATAACTTGAGATGAGTTAAAAAGTATCCCCTAAATTTTTATTGCATTTATTTTCGAAACCACCAATTTTTATTGCAGAAGGGATCTACCGGCACCCTTGTGCTGACGGAGGAAGAGAAAAGAACTCTAATCGCCGAAGGTTACCCAGTCCCCACCCGCCTACCACTTACAAAAGCCGAGGAGAAGTCCTTGAAGAAAATCCGGAGGAAAATTAAGAACAAGGTAAGTCCGTTGGGCTCGAACCCCGAACGATGTAATATTCTGTTCGAAATTTTAGATCTCGGCGCAGGAGAGCAGGAGGAAAAAGAAGGAGTACATGGACCAGCTGGAGAGGAAGGTGGAAATCCTCGTTTCGGAGAACAACGATTACCGGCAGAAAATCGAGAGCTTGGAGGACTCAAACTCCAGCCTCTTGAGCCAGCTGCAGAAACTGCAAGCGATCGTGGCGAGAACGCACCCGCAGATCATCAAACAACTGAAGCAGAACAACTAAGCTTCAAGCCTTAAGACGTAACGTTGCTGACCTTTAGAAGAAGTCTCCAAACGAGTGAATGTTCGATATGACACGGTTTGAAAAGTACAAAAAAGAGATTTATTTAAGTAAAATTATATTTTTAACAATTCTGCTGGAATAAACGAGTCGTCTTCCAAAACTTTGAATGCATTCCAAGGAAAATCATAAAGTTAAACCAAAGTTACGAATTATTACGGAGCTCAAGCATATTTTTGTATAGGGTATATATTTAAAAGTGAAAGAGTTGAGCTTTTTTTTAACGTGTACTTAATTATTTTTGTAAATAGGATTAATCAGGTTTGTGTGCCTTAAATAAACACGCTAGGCTTAGTTCTCTAGTTGATTTTAAGCACTTGTATGTATATTCGTGACTAAAAGCTGACACCGGGACCACAACATTAGCTTGGATCACCGATTTACATCAATCTTATTTTATCGATTACTTAAATTCGCTGCCTAAACACTACAGACTGACGTTTTTACTTTTTTTTTTTTTAATTATAATTTCGAAAGTTTCGGATAGGTATAGAGAAATTTTATAAAAAATATATTTAAAAAAAGAACGTGCAATTGATAAATAAAAAAACTTTTATTATTATATTTTATTTTAACGTACGATTTTAATCGAATCCACTGGGAGGAAAATATGTTAGCCGCATTTATATTGTATATATGTGTTATTTTATTCAGAGTTTAAATATTTTTATTATTATATTGTTATACAATTGAAGACGTATTAGGGAATGTCCGTAAAATGTTTTTTCAAACATTCAGCTTTGAGGTTACAATTATAGTGTAGTCGTTTCAAGTTGGTTCGCGCGCAGGTTTAACAAAATTAAAAAAATATATTCACAAAACAAATAAAAAAGGATTGTAAATATCCTCATTTATACCTGGTGGCTCATTTTAATCGACGCACCCGAATATCTCTGTTTCTAAGCCGAATAAAAAAAAATGTTCAGACAAAGGTTATTCAGGACAAACTTTGACCTTGGTGTCAATTTTCAAGGTCATTTGAAGGTCGAAGGTATTTTTTTAAATGGGAAACCCTATTTTTGACGCCGGACTCGGAAAGAGCGGGAAATTTTACGTCTAAAATGGTAGTTTAACAATTTTTAGAGTGACCTTGAAAATCAAAATCAAACCAAGGTCAAATATTATAAATTCGTCCAAAAGCTGTTTTTTCGAATTCTTGGTGGTTTAGTAGGCTTAGGGGCCAATGACTGACCATTTTGACCTTAATGTCAAACATAAAAGTCATTTAGAAGCAGTTTTATTAAATAAAAAATTTCACGTCTGTTCTTAATATTACTTTTAGCGTTACCCAGAAACAACGACGTGGACGTAATAAGATCTGTTTCCTTAGGGGTGCTTGTCCAAGAATTCGAAAAAAACAGCTTTTGGACGAATTTTCAATATTTGACCTTTTCAAGGTCACTCTAAAAATTGTTAAACTACCATTCTGGACGTAAAATTTCCCACTCCTTCCGAATCCGCCGTCAAAAATAGGGTTTCCCATTGACCTTCAGATGACCTTGAAAATTGACACCAAGGTCAAAGTTATTATTGCAGTTAGGTGACCCCCTTTGTCCTGAATAACTTTTGTCTGAATATTTTTTTTTTATTCGGCTTAGCAATGGAGATATCCGGATGCGTCGATTAAAATGAGCCACCCGGTATATTCGCACTTATACAGTCAAACTTATGAACGAAAACAATAGATGGCGTTTCTTAAAAAAAATCCCTGTCGCACTTTAGCCACACTTTAATAACCAGATTATCAGTTTATGGATAATACCAATAATCGGTCGATTACCTTACTTGTTGTTCTTGGGCTAGGCTGAGTGGGGGCGGACCCGTTAACAGAACCCCCAGGCCTGCACTGACATCGTTCCAGTTCTTGTTGGTTGCAATGTTGCTCAATCGAAACCGCTTCTCAGACAATGGAAGGTCTCTGAGATGTTTCATGGTGGCATTCAGTAATGGGTCGCATCGAATACTACCAAGCATTGGAGTATGTCTGTATCATATATATGCCTGACACTCACAGAACATTATAATTAAGAGGGCTCTATAGCAAATAGGCAACCAACAATACATTTTTATAGTTTGTCTAAATATGAATTAATGCACAAGTAATAGACTTTGCTCCATTCTAACGCAGATTTTCTATAAAATGGAGTTAGTTTGAAACTCAAATTACTCTTTGTTGTAAAGAAATTTGTAATTTGCTGCTTCCGGTATCGTAAATTACAAATTTCTTTACACCAAAAAATAATTTGTGTTTCAAACGAAGTCCATTTTATAGAAAATCTGTGTTAAAACGGGGGAAAGTCTGTTATTTGTGCATTAATTCATATTTAGACAAACTGTGTAATAAAATCTATTAAAATGTATTGTTGGTTGCGTATTTGCTTTAAAGCCTCTTAAGTCTTGATTTTAATTCGATAATTCCAATCTCTAGATATCATCTTATTTCTCCATTGTCTGGGACGATGTGTTGTGGATCAATAAGTACAGATTTGTTTTTCGAATTACCAAAAACAATTGGATTCTTCAGATTATTTAAATAATCAGATTATCAAGATTCAAATTTTCCGGGCACTACTCTACAGTGGCTTTATGCCAACATACAGAACTTCCACAAAACACGTGACCATTAATTTTACTTCATTGGTATTGGCAATTAAATTTTATTAAAATTAAAATTTTCACTACATTTTATTCAACCGATCGACGATTGTGTTATCTCGAGTGGTTTGTCATTGTTCATTGTATACGAGTCCTTATAATTGATGCTAAAATTTAGGGATAGTTGGTTGACGGTGCCAATCGTGCAATGTTGGTTGTCTAAGCTCAATGGTCACGTGGTTAGCTTATAATCATTTATGAACAGGGGCTTTTTGGACGTGTCGCCATCTTGTATCCTCGTTTCTAACTTTACGCGGTTGTACAATTATATAAATAAGGGTTATATGTATGGATCTCTCTAATATAAAACGACGATAATTATATGGAGGGATGACAATAACTCAAAAACACTACGAGTGATATTTATCGAGAGAATTTTACAGAGACGGAAACAGATATCAAGACTAACTATTAAAATATATTTTATTCACTTCATGAAATCCGATGAATTATTATCGAGAGATTGGATTAGAAATTTTTATAAATCGTCTCTCACTAGCGATTACCACATGAGATTTTGTTGATCTCATGGTTTTGTTAAATCTGCCGTTCTAGTGTAAAAAGTGTTTATTTACAATTCATATATTATATAAATTATACAATTATCATTATAACTAGATAAATCTAATTATATTAAAAATAAATATTTGAGTGAATTGTAAATAATGTATAATTAAGCATCGAAAATTAATAATTACTAGTATAGGAACAATTTTGGGATTATCTTAGGTTTATATGCATCGTAGAACATAAGGAGTTTGTTAATTTCTTAGGTAAACGTTAACACTGGAACCGTCACCGGTAGGATTTTTTTTCTTCAGAGCAAACGACCGATTTTGGTTCCGAGGTCAACGTATGCCATTAATCAGGGGTGTACTCATGCTTTAGATAATATATTTCATACACATGATTCTAATTTAATGATAATAAAAGCAGGCAATATTTTTGCTTAGTATTTATTGTTTCGATGGGCAACAAGAAGACCCGAACGCGGTTCGCTCTTGTTTCCAAAATTAGACTCGTTATTACTTCTACCAACAACTATGCAAATGTTACAAAATGTATTAGTAATTTAAGGCATTTTATTCAAATTGATTTTATCGATTATTTATTGTGTATTTTTTCATGCATTTGTGTGTTGTAACTGATTTTAACACAGTCCTGTGTGCAATCACTCCTTTTTTAGAGGGGTAACTTTCGTTTTAGTGATGAGATTGTGTCTGCTTTGTTGCACTTTGGGTACCAATAGCGTTGTTCTTGTGTAAGAGAATTGACCAATAAAGTAAAAAAGGAAACATTCGCTATTATTTTCCCGCAACACTATCCCAAAAGTCCAAACACCAAAAGTTGCGTACTCTTGCATATATTGAAATTTTGTAGAAAAACTTTTTTATACAAAGTATTCAATAAACCTAACGATAAATCTTTTAGATTAATATATTTTTACAGGACAAAAACATTCTCTAAAATGTTCAATTTCATCAGATACAAAAATAATAAACATTCAATTTCAAGTTTTTCAATATTTTCTATTCCAAATCTAAACCAAGTATATTCAAAGAAAATATGCAATAGGTTACTCACAAGATAACAGTAATTTTTCATATCGATTGGAAGAACAATTACTTTTACTGTTAGCTGTATAATATATGAGGATAAATATCGCGATGCAATTTAATGCGTATAGTGTAATGACACACGCACAAAAATGCAATAACAAATGATAACCCAATGAACAATGAACTATATAACTTTTTGAAACTTGAAATGTCGAAATCAGTGCTACCAACAACGGTGCTTACGTCTGCTCTGCGTTGCCAACGTAGTAAACCAAAACTAAAAAGTCAACACTTCGCAGTTAAAAAAAATAAAAACAGACATTATACGCGTAATAAGTAGTAGAAAAGTCCCTACAAATTCCGCAAATGATAAAACTTATGTGTTAAAGATCAGACGTGAATGTTTTTATTATATATTTTATTTTTTAGTTTAGATTTTTCTATAAACAAATTCTATGAGCTCTTCAGATCAAATAACAGATCCCGACGAAGCTTCAAGGTAAATAAAGAAAAAAAGTGCAAATAAAATCCATTTTTATTGATTTTTGTCGAAACTACGGGACTTTGAAGCAGTTTCTAGGTTATGTTTTTTATGTCAATCTTGAATGTCATCATATGAAATCCTTTCTTTCTTTTCTTATAATATCGAGCCTACGGATACTAAACGGACATGACTTTTTCCAAATTCCAGGAATAACCCAGAAGCCTCGTCAAGTAGCTTAAACAACGAAGAAAATTCCACTACTGACAATAAAGAGGACGCTATGAAACGGGCTGCTGCCAAGAAACTCATAGAAAGATACTTTTATCAACTTACCGATGGCTGTGGAAATCCTAGCTGCGATAACAAATTCTGTGCATCCAGCGGGGAAGTAAGAAATTGTCTAATGAAATTTAAGGGCTTTTCAAGTTTCCCATTTACGTTTTAGTTGAAACCTCTTACTCCCGATGAAGCGGCCGCTCAAGCTATCCAACTATTTTCTCAAGAAGCAAGACTATGTGAAAGACACCCAAACAAAATTGCACGTAAACAAAACAGCATATTAAGTACTAAAAACAGTGTCACGTCCCCTGATATATGTCTTGAAAACGATACCCTCCCTACTAATGACATTGTGGTCTCAAGTACGGATGAAAATAGCAAAAACAGTGTAAAATACAACTGTGGTGAGTCTTCAAGCGCTAATAGGATCGATCATTCTACTTATTTTATTTATTCTAGTTCCGGTCCCTTCGTTTTTAACTGAGCAGTCTTTATACGACATTATCGATGAATGTGAAACAAACGACAGTTATTCGCCCTTGATTCGCACCTTGGGTGAAATTTTTAGTAGTATTGAGAACCTGGCAAGGAGTTTTGTTCAAACGGAAGTGAGTTCGCCGACGGAAGTAACGTCTACAACAGACACTCCAGGTATGGCATTATTTTAAGGCTGATGGACACAGTAGTGGCCCTATGGAATTTTTATTTTGATCTTTCAGGTGAAATAAAAGGTCTAAATAAAGAAGAGGTGAGGTCGTTAGAAGGCGAAAAGGATAAAGATGAAGACTCCTGCGCGGAGTCAAGTAAACACACTATTCTCCCAGTCGATTTGTCCGCTGTGCGGAGAGCATTTACAGCTCTCTTCAAGCTAAAAACGTCGATTTTCGAGAATGCCCTGATCAACGCTCTTGTAACGCTTGCGGGAAATCTGCAGATGGAACTGCCGACGAGGAAAGAACGGGAAAATCAGGATGATATTGTCAACGTTTTGCTCATTGTCTTCGAAATACCTGCTTTGGGTAAGATCTTAAAATAGGTGCGAGTACATGTTCTGAATTTTTCACTTTCTAGGTTCGGGGGATTTCTTGGAAACTGCACTGCCCGCCATCTGCAGGGCGGCGCAGTGGCTGCCGGTCGAGGTGCAGGCCAAACTGGCCAGGATGTGGTCGAACGTAGGCCGAAGCAGCATTAGGAACATATTAGAGAACTTACAGCAGTTAATAACGTTAAGGGTTATACTGACCCCTTTTCACAGGGACTTGTTCGTGCAAGACGAGAACGTCATCACGTCTGCCACGAAACTTATGAAAGTGAGTTTGTTTTTCTTTATTCTTATTTTTTCGTTCCTTGAAAACGTTTTAGATTTTATACTATGCAAATATGCTGGCGGGTTCCTTGGAATCTCCCGATCTGAGGTGCGACGAGATGTCCGGATCCATGGACAGCTCATATTTGGCTAGTAAAGTCAACAAAAGCACACCTCCCGTGGACCCGTTGGCCGAGGAATTGGGCATACACGTGTTAGACTGCAGGAAACCTTTTTTACCCTTCTCGGAATTTTATAATGAGCTCCTCAGCGACACCGTAGAGATGGATAGGGACTTTGCCAATTACAAAAGTGAACTAGGTATGTTTTTTGCTTTTTTAAGATTAAGAATTGATAATTTGAACCTAGAAACGTTGCGTTGCTAGTTATACATGATGTTACAAAAAAGTCAGATAAGCCATTAACCACAGATTCTGTGGAAAAAAATAATTTTTTAATAACAGCCTGTGACGGTACCGTATCTTGTCAAATTTAAAGAAAAAAATTGTTATTAATAACCTTTGCACAAACTTTTATTTCATATGTGTTGTTTTATAGATTAAATACTTCATCACTTAATTTTTTTTTTTCATGCATATAAAATTCTGAATTAGAGCTACATTTTCAATATATTGCATTATAGTCCAATCAATATGTCACAATCTTATGTTAAATTTACAAAAAATAGCACCTGGAAAGAAAAAATATGGTGATATAGGAAAAATTTTTTTAAGATAGTGTTTTTTTCCTGTTACAGCGAAGTTAACCTAAAAAATTCATAAACGTCAAAAAACGGTTTTTCGCTGAAAAAAAAATTGTACTCCAATCGAAAAAGGTTATATGAGAATGTTGTAGCTATTAAAAACAACCTGTCGATTTGTATTTTTAAATATATCGATTGCTATATTACTTTTCGAGATATATCAAAAAAAAAACGTCAGAAATCGACTTTTTTTGTTTTTGCTGTATCTCTTGCAAATTAAGGTTTTGAAACTTGTTACTTACTGTAAATGTAGCCCTCGGCAAGCAAAAAAGTATATTTTTTTAAAATTAAAAAATATTAAAAATTTTGCGAGTTGTACCGATTTTTCGAAAAAAAGATCATCTCAAAAATCGCCTCCTCTTGCTTGACGAATAGTCATAGAGAAACGAATCAGGGCTCATTTTTTTTTATTAAGAGTTGTACTTTCATGGTAACGATTTTATTCATTTCAAGTGTCCAAAGATGACTGAAAAAAGTTAAAAATGTTTGTCTGCGTAGGTATTACTTGAATACCTTTTTCGATTTTCATTTCTCGATAATGTCTATTATAGGAATCGATTGCTGGCATTTTTACGCCAATTAAAAAAAAAAATCGTTGCTCTACGACGTTCTGGAGCTGATATATTTTTTTTTCAAAAAATTCCACAAGTCGCTATTTAAGTGCTGTAACGACCATTCGTACAGAGATTGTAGTTAAGACTTATATCTTCAATAAAATAATAGTGTGGTTCATTTTAGCCGCTCCGAAAACTGAGTTAGCGCATTCAAAAGGATTCTTACTTTCAAAATCTTCATTATCTTGACTTCTGGACCACACACAAAAATTTTATTGTACTTAATTTGAAGTAGAATTACGAGATAAACCAATATACGACGTTTACGACAGCCTCAAAAGCATAATTACCTTTGAAAAATGTAATTTTCCTTTAGTCTAAAATTCTCTCACCTCTTATTAATATTTCAATAATTGTTTATGAAATAAAGTAAGTACAACATTTTATGGTAATTATATTTTTTTTGTTATAAAAGTGTTACAAAATATTTATTTAATTATCGTGCAGAAAATTACGTGGTATAAAAATATTCGTCGATTACATTTTTTTATTTTCACAGCTTGTGTAAGTAAGTATATCACTCTTATGTTTCAATTATCTTCAATTCCCTCGATTGTGATTTATTTTCTTCTTCTTCCATGGTTTCGTTTTCTATATTTTCCACGCGATCAACTTCATTTTCCACATAATTCATTGCATCAGTGAGTAATTCAAACGTGTCAAAAGAATCATCGTCTAATTGGATGTTTGAGTTTCAAAATTTTCGCATTGGGAGGCATCACAATGTAAACAAACACTTGTACATTTCAAAATTTTTTTTTTACAACAGATTTTATTTTTGCAACCGCTGACGCAGCTACATAATTTTTTTTTTTTTCAAAGGTAATATTGTGCTTTTGAGGCTGTCGTAAATGTCATATTTTGTTTTATTTCGTCGAGCTACCCCAAATTAACACAACAGTTTCAGGCAAACTGTTTTTTTTGTTTTGTTATTCAACAGGCAAATTGCTATTAAACCTTCAATATGTGTACAAGCTCTGCTATTCCATATTTGGGTTCTTTCAGAGAGACAGAACATGGTATGCTGGAAATATAATAGTCATTTCACGTATTTTTTGTAAGTAGGTTTCTCTGAAAAAAATTACATTGATTTTTGAACAGAATGCTTGCAGGATGATTGTGAATATATTTTTCTAGAAATTTGCAAAAGTAACTTTCAAATGAAATTTTGTTAATATAAGTGAGTTGTTACAGGAAAATTCTAGGGAATTTTTATCAAATTTTATTTTGTTAACTGCAGTGTGTAATATAAATAGGGGTAAACTTGGTAATTTCTGAAATAATTTAATTTCGTGTTCGTGTGTTGAGGTTCACTAATTACAGGGTTCGTAGCGGCCGGGAAAACCAGGAATACCGGGAAAAGTCAGGGAATTCGTTATTCTTCATGAAAAACAGGGAATAGTCAGGGAATTTTAAAAATATTCATGGAAGTCAGGGAATTTGCAACTTGGAAATTTTGCGAAAACCGGCCCTGGGTTCTTGTAAGAGAAAACTATTTGTGGTTTTGAAACCTTTATGAGGTTCTTTGGGTATAAAAAAGATTATGGAGTCCAGTTGAGAAAAAGTTTAATGCATAAACACCATTTGTATGTAAAAATGAACTACAAGTGACTTGGATTTTTTTTATGTCAGGGAAAACCTGGAAAAGTCAGGGAATTCCTTATTACTTTTGAACTATGAACCCTGCTAATTATTTGTTCTGTTCTGAGCAAGTCTGTACCCCCATCCACCCGTCCACAAAGAAAATCTTATTAGTTATCCTGAAGGAACCTGTGGCTTGACTTACTCCTTTGTAACATCCTGTATATTAAATTTTTTCGTAAAAAAACTATGACATTGTAATATTTATGCACATTTTGTTAGGTAAATTTAGTTTTATGCACTATCCCTTCATCCTGACACCCGCCACGAAAACGATGGGACTGTACTTCGACAACAGGATACGAATGTACTCGGAACGGAGGATAAGCATCCTCCAAGCCGTGACGGGACTGCCGTCTCAACCCTACCTGAGGCTGAAAGTGAGGAGGGACCACATCATCGACGACGCCCTCGTCGAGCTAGAAATGATCTCCATGGACAACCCGAACGATCTAAAAAAACAACTGGTGGTGGAGTTCGAGGGGGAGCAGGGCATAGACGAGGGCGGGGTCTCCAAGGAATTCTTCCAGCTGGTGATCGAGGAGATCTTCAACCCCGACTACGCAATGTTCACCGTACAACCCGAGACGCAGACCGTGTGGTTCAATCCCACGAGTTTCGAGAGTGACGCCCAGTTCACCCTCATCGGCATCGTTCTTGGTCTCGCTATTTACAATAACGTCATTCTTGCCGTCAACTTTCCCATGGTGCTGTACAGGAAACTGATGGGGAAGAGGGGATCCTTCGAGGACCTACAGGATTGGAATCCGGTAAGAAATGTCCGTTAATATTAGTTGTAAATGAGTTTTGAAAATGAGTCTACGGATTCCAGGTGCTCTACAATAGTTTGAAACAGATGTTGGAGTATAGCGACTCGGACTTGGACGAGGTCTTCATGCAAACGTTCAGGATAAGTTATCAGGACGTTTTCGGTTCGACGATTGACTACGACTTGAAGGAGAAGGGGGATAGCATTAGCATTACGCAAGAAAATAAATACGTAAGTAACATAGGGAGACAAAATGATTTATATAAGTGCCTTAAATTTATTGGTCAATTTTCAAAATACAGTGTGATTTATCAGAACCCGGCAATATTTTAAATGTTAGTGTAGTATACACTAATGCAAAAAATTAGGGTCAAAAGAATTTCCGAAATTTTTCCGTGATTTTTGACAGACTGTATTTAGGTGGAAAATGGTCCTATCGAGAATTAAAAAAAATCATTTTGAAGATTCTAGTATTTAGATCTTTTGGTTGAAATTTTTTAGGAGCTACGGTTATGCAATTTTAAGAAATAGCGTGACAAAAAAATTTTGAAAATGTTTTTTAATTTCCATGAAATATTTTTTTCAGCCAAGCCATTGCATGGACCAGATAGCTTGTTTATTCAGCTTTAATTTCCTTTTTTTTAATTTTGATCAGCCATTTTTCATCGAAATATTGGACTTTTAATGGAAAAGGATTCGTTTGTCTTTAATCATCGATATCTCGGCGACAAATTGTCGTACAGGGAATTGAAACACAGTTTCGAAAACTGGAATAAATTTTCTATAACATTCTGCCGTAACTTTTCGGAAAATTTATTTTTTTCATCTTTTACACGATTTTAAAAAACATGAGAAAAGGGTAATTTATGTTTTTTTTTTAGAAAATTGACGGCTAAATTAAAAATATTCACGAAATGACTAATGTTAAGCACAACATTTACAGTTTCATATACCCAGAAGAACCCTGTGAAGTTTCATCTCGATCTAGCGAACTGTTTCTTTGTTTCAAACAAACTTTTGAAAAAATTAAAGGGTCACGTTTTTTAAGCTTAAACACTTCATAATCATTAAAATCGAAAAAAAAAATGTTAAGGTTTTCTCACATTTTTACCACAAATAACGTTTAAATTGATGGAAAAAAAACGAATAATTTTCGAAATTTTTCGTCGTTTTTTGTTTTTTTGGAAAACCTTCCGGACATTGAAGAAAACAATAGCTTTTCCGTCCTATGCTTCTATTCATCAACTTTTAATTAAATTAAAATTAAAGATTATGACCCAAACCAGATTTCGACCCCGATTCATACCGTTTTTTGAGACAAATTTCTAATTAATTTTTGTGCAATCTGTAATCACAAAAAACAGTTTTTTCAAATTTTTTTTTCATCAATTTAACGTTATTTGCGGTAGAAATGTGAGAAAACCTCAAAAAAAAATTTTTCCATTTCCATTTTAATCATGATTATAAAGTGTTTAAGCTAAAAAAAACGTGATCTTTTAGTTGTTTGCATTAGTTTATAGGGTCTAGTTTCAAGTGGGAGGGCAGTTTTTTAGGGGGAATAATATGTGTTCCTCAAAATATTATTCTGAAATTCTTATTTTTTATTTGTATAATGCAACGTGTGCACTACATAATTCAATCCACCTGATGTGATATGACAACAGGACGTTAGGCAGGCAAAAATAAATGGCTAACATTATTTCTGTGAGATGAGAATAGCTGAACATGTCACAATTTCATTTTATTGCATTTATTCTAGGTTTTCCTTCAGTTTATCGGTTTTGTAATGCGGCAGCTAGGGCCGGATTTTCCCTTAGTGCCGCCCTGGGCACCGTAAAAAATGCCGCCCCATTACCCATATTCTACACAAAATGGATAAGGGTTCAGAATATTTTTTGACTTCCCACTATAAAAACCACAAATTTTTCGAAATTGGGAAGTTATTGATTTAGTACCGATTTTCGAAAATTGAGTATTCGTCAAATCTCGACGTTTTGAGATCATAGGAAGCTAAAGCTCAAGAAACTACGTCAAAAGCTGTAAATGCCATCAAAATCAGTTGATCCGTTCGAGAATATTGTTGACGAAAAATTTGGAAATTTTTTTTTTCTTTTGAAATGACATTCGAATTCCTAGTGAAATCGAGATTTGGTACTCAGCTATCTTGAGATTAGGATTTTTATTATACGTTATATATTTCACTAATAATATACCCAACTTTACCCAAGTAATCTTAAAATTTTTGCAAAAATTTTCCCTTTTTTTAGTTTTTTGAAGTTTGAAGGCCCATGAAATCATATTATTTTTCGGGGTTCCATCACCCAAAATTTTTTTTGGTCAATTCTAGATTACCGTACATATAACTTGGTCTAAGCAAGTACCTTTTCAAATGAAAACCTAACTTTATACACATTAATAAAAAATATATTGCAGATATTTGTTGATTAATTGCAGGAATTTGTTGATTTATATGCGGACTTCCTCCTAAACAAATCCGTAGAAAAACAGTTTCACGCATTCTACAAGGGATTTCAGATGGTGGTCGACGAATCGCCTCTAGAACTACTTTTCCGTCCAGAAGAAATTGAATTATTAATATGCGGCAGTAAAGTAAGTACTCCCAACCCGGTTTTTTACGTTAAAAACGTTCTAATGTGCACTTTCTTCTCTAGAACTTTGATTTCGATGAATTAGAAAACTCCACGGAATACGACGGGGGATACACAGACAACACACAGATCATCAAAGACTTTTGGTCGATCGTACATGCTCTCTCGGTGGAGGACAAAAGGAAACTTCTGCAGTTCACGACGGGGTCCGACAGGGTACCCATAGGAGGGTTGAGCAGGCTGAAGCTCGTGATCGCCAAGAACGGACCGGATTCGGACCGCTTGCCCACCGCGCACACCTGTTTCAACGTGTTGTTGCTTCCGGAATATTCTTCCAAGGAGAAGCTCAAAGATAGACTTGTGAAAGCAATCAACTACTCTAAAGGCTTTGGCATGTTGTAAAATGTTGTGCTTTTTGTGATTTACTTTATTAAGTAGTGTTAATCGGATGAAATACTAACAAATTGTAATTTGTTTTAAATAATAATTGTACACAACTCCGGTATTTTATTCGTTGGTTGTCACTTTTGTAATGAGCGCGGTCGTCGCCGACTCGACACATTACACATCATGGAAGGCTGAAAATAAAGTGTATTTAAAAACTCAACGTTTTAATCTGAAGTTATTTCTCCATGTTTGGTCCTTCGAACTGGATGCGTGTAGCATGTAATTCAACATTTTACAGTGTTTACGACTTTTTGCACTCGATACACACCGAGTATATCTTTGCCCATTAAATGATAATATTGTCAATGCGCACTGAGTGTAAGTAAACTACTGTTAGTCTGGAAATAATTGCATGTTTGGTCCTTCGAGCAGGATGCGTGTAGTATGTAACGACATTTAAGAGTTTTCAAAGTGTTTGAACTTCTGCACTCAATGAGCCCTGTACTATCAACTCCAATAATAAAGGACGAGAATATTGACAATGCGCACTGAGTGCAAATAGATTTAAATTACTCTTAATCTGGAATTATTTCTATATTATTGGTTCTTCAAGCAGGGTATCTTTAGCGTATAACTTCACATTTTACAGCGTTTTTGACTTATTTGCACTCAATGCGTACTGAGTATGTTTTTATCATGTACCATCAACTCCATTAATAAAATGTCAAAAATATACTGATAATCTGAAATTATTTCTACATTCTTGGTCCTTCGAACAGGATATCTGCAACAAACTAGAATTAAAGAAATAAAATCAGTGTAGCCTTTCTTCAAGTAATGAGAGAGGATACATGGCTTGTAATAGAACCAGACTTTACAGTCTGTAAGTAAGTACAGTAAGTTTACAAATGTAGATATGAGATGGTTACAGAAATTACGTCATCACACAATATTTTAGCACTAAATAGTAACGCTAAATGTTGAAAGAAATATATATAAAAGAGAAAACAATTACTCGACAACGTTTAGAATTCAGGCAAGATTTCGTTAATATAATAATAATATCTACTCATTCTAACTACGAGAATTAGCCCATAAGTCGGAGACTTGTGCGGGAGAGGAGGCGGCATATTATTATTAGGCAGGCCGCATTTGCGCCCAGGAACGACATGTTGGTAGGCCCTAACCATCATTCAGTGCAGGAATGAGGGAAACCTGGAGAACCTCTTTAATTAGGGGATTATTACATATGTTTGAAACATGTTATCAAGTTAGAGTTTTTTTAAATTAAAAGAAATTTAAAGCATCATAACAATGTGTTATAGTTTTTCGGAAGTCAGTTGAACATGTATAAAAGGCCTAGCAATAAAATTTTATGAGTTTCATAGGCATCCCTAAAAAAGTTTTCTGCTAAATGTAAAAAATTATAATAATTTATATATGTGTAGAAAATTTCTATTACCTATATGTTAATTTGACAAACAACATATTTTTTCTTTATATAAATTGTCAACCGAATTACGTCTCATCATATCGATATTTTTAAATTTTTGTTTTCGCTTCCTCTTTACGCAATGATCTACAACACCTTGTTTAATAACAGGAAAAATTGTGGAGACTAAAACTTTAGTTAATATGTGAATTCTATTTATAATTTCATTATCTGATTTTTTCATTTTCTTCTTTTTTTAAACAATGGTAAATATTTAAAATGAGACACTGACATTGAACATGTAAATCTTTATTTTTAAATTCTAAATCTTTCATCAACAACCGGTTCTACTATTTCAATATTGTCTGGTGGTATTTCGTTTTGTTCTGTTCAAAAGATCTCCAAAATGCCATGTCGTAATGATATTAGTAAACAATTATTATTTCTCCATTTCACAATTATGATATGAATGATTAATAGAAGGTGCCTATAATAAATTAAAATTACCAGAATCACACCAAATTCCGCATTGTGCACTGCACTGCTAGGTAACTTGTCAACAACTGAAATTTATGGCCCAGTCGCCCAGTGCAGCTGTGTTCGTGCGCCGTTTGCCCGCGCGCGTTCTTCAACTGGGCCTATACATTTCTACCACCTCCACGTTCGACCAGACTTGTATATGGGTATGGCTAAATAAATATGGGAACAAGTTTTTCAGATATTTCAATGCCGAAAAGCGTTAAAATAAACCAAGATGGAGAGCTATAAAGTCGCAAAACCTAATATCAATTGATAATGCAGGGAAATTTAAAAAAAAACAACTAGTAAACTTTGCATCTTTTAATACTTAAAGAACATCGTTACTCTAAAAAATTACAAACAATAATTGTACAATTTCAGTGTTTCGTAAATTTAGTCGTATTATGTACAGCAACAAGTTCCAAAAATAATGGCAAAAAATATCTTACAAATAGTAGTAAAAAAAGTAACTAAAATAAACAGATCAATGAATAGATCTTGACGAAATCAGCACAGCATTGTTATGAATTCATAGTAACAATAAAATATAGTTCGGCCCTGGGATAAACGGGACGATTAAAAAAAAATTACTTTGGTGATACGTGGAACTATGGCACAGGTAACTTAAACATCGATTAAAAACTACAAATAAAATGTATTCAAATAAAGTACAGCTACACAGACAATACAACAAAATACAAAATTGTGCCGTTTAAAAATTAACCAGAGTTTGGAAAAATAAGTATTTTTAAAACCTTTAGTGACTAAAATGTAATTTTTTCAATTAATAAAATACGATTTTGATAGACTAAAAGATTTTTTTTAAAGTTTTAAAAAAACGAGACCATGTTTGAAAGTTAAGGTACCCCATGCTCGACTACGAAGTATCACATTGTTTCGGTAGGACAAAAGTCTGCCGTCACCTTGAAACGCATTTATTAAGAAAAGAAGCAGTCTAGTACAGTTCTGCAGAGTTGGCCTTGGCAAATTTATAAAACAATCGAAATTAGGTGTAACCATTATACCCTTGTTTATAATACTTACAGTTCGACAACCAATCAACCTTCGAGATGAGAAAACTAGATCGCTACACTCTCAAAAAATCCCTATCGCCCCTATTTTTTTTTGACAGTGTCACTAAGGTTTTCATCCTAAATTTACCGGTTATTTAATCATGTAAGTATATACACTTTAGAAAATTGTAATTGCTAAATGGAAGTATTTTTTTCTTTAATAAATAAGGAACCCATTATATTAAAAGATCAAGTAATCCTATCGTAAAAGTTAATAACCAAAAAAACGCTTAAGATAAAATTAGCAGTAATTAGAAATTTGTCATCTAACGATTTCAAAAACACATTTTTCCTAAGAATTTTTAAAATCTCCAAACTTCCAACGGATTAGCCTCTACATTTAGAAAATCGTACCTGAGTCGTATTGTTTTTCCTTCTACTGGCCACACATCGATAAAAACTTGATTTTTGCATAGAATTTGTCCAATTCAACATGTCTGATAAAGGAACCATTTATTTTTAAACTTAACATACAATCACAATGATACACGAGTGACACCTGATGCTTCGAAACGACCTCACAACCGAATCAAACTAGACTTAGTTAAAATATGTGACTATCTGTAGAAATTATTTATCGGTGTTTGTAACTAGCCGTCAACTTAGAGAACCCTTTTGCCATTCCATTCAGTATAAAAAAATAGGTGTGTGTGTGGGGTGTGTATAGTAAGGGAAGAATCATGGAAGATTTGGGAGCGGACCCCTTAAATCTGGGTGCTGAACCTTGGTCTCGGCAGGTCCCCAAACACGGGATCGCCGTGCACGCTTTTCGCCAATGCCTTTATGCTAGCTGCGATGTCCACGTTCTCACCCACCGGCTGCAAAAAGGTCATGCATAATTTATATTTTAACGAGCAGCCCATGTTAATTTATTTAGAACTTAAAACATCACCAAATATTTTAGAATTCGTAGAAACTAACTTACCGAAGCCTCATCAACTTCCTCACCCGAACCCTGCCTGGGCTTCGCAATGAACGCTGGTATATTCATGGGTAAGGATTTGGCCAAATTTGGCCTCGACGGTGTAGACCTCGGTATACTTATTCCCTCCTCTTTATCTACAAAACAAAAATTGAACGAAACACGTTTTAATCGATTATCGGAACTAACCCTCTCTATCGCTTTCATCTACGTCAGTACTAGGCACCGAGTTCACTTCGTCGCTCTCGAATTCGAATATCAACTCGTCCGAGTCGGTACCCTTGGAGGGGCTGCTCTTGTCGGGTCTTAAGGGCTTCCAGGAAGAGGTCTGAAAGCAACGTTCGTTTTTCATATCTGTTCGTAAGTGTCAAGTTAGTAATCCTTACCGCAGAAGGGCTGTCGTAGGGAGAGGCAAAACCGCCAGATTGTTTCATATCAGTCTGTTTAGCAGGTCGCGATGAAGATGATGCAGTCGGGGTGAAAAAGCCGTAGCTCGATTTCTTTGTACTTTCAGGTTCAGTTTCGATTGCACTACATATCACCCTGTTAAAAAATTTACATTAAAGCCATACGAAAGGTCTGTAACACTTTAAGGTAATCAAAAATAACACATTTTCCAAAGGAAAAATAATAGTACCTTATTTAATATGTAGCATAAAAAAACTAAGGATGGTTGAAGAAAAAACAAATAGAAAAGAAAAGTAATAAATAATATACCTTAAATATAAATAATTGTGGTTTACTGCAATTAAAGGTAACAAGTAATATATCAAAAGTTTTCATTTTCTCTCTCGATTATTCTTTAATTTTTGCCACTCGATCCTCTAACTTTATATATGCACCTGGCCTAACCTATCCTAACCCAAATTAACCTAACCTAAAGGAACCTAATCCAAATCAACAGAAAACTGAAAACAAATATTACATGTGCAACCACAACAAGTAATTAACGATAACGAATAAAGCACAAACTGATAAGAAATCCACAAAGCGGAAAAAACACACCATAATGCCTAATTACGATTGGTCAAAACCTCAGATGAGTAACGACCAATTTTAACGCGACATTTAGGAAACAACGACTGTAAAGCAGACAATAAAAAATATTTAATTGTTAATATTATTACACTTAAAAGAACTTGTAAATGCTGAGTGAAAAAAAAAAAGTCGACTAGACTACTAACGATAGCCCTTAAAGTGTGACAAGGGGCCCTATTGGTAATTTAAATAAAGGAAACTAAATTTAACTGTAACCATTATTACTCTAGCTTCAAAAAAATAATAATTAACAGGTATCTGCATAACGTTGGCTTATCATATTGGGTGTAATTAAACGGTATCTACATTTTTTCCAATATTGGCGCAACAAAGAAGAATAAAGCTGATAAAGTTTCTATTAAACGTGAATTACAGCAACAATTAAGTTTATCATTTGTTTGACAAATTTGATAGTGCCAGACAAAAAAAATAACCAAACTATTATCTAGAATCGTAAATTTTATTGCAGCCGTTATTCTCCAAAATACAGGCTGTTCCGGAATCGAGTACAAAAAATGTTGGGGGGCATAAAATAATAGCTAATGGCGCAACTTCCTGGAGCGCCACTTATTTTTTTATTTTATTAATAGCGTAATTTCAAATGATACATAAAAAATGTTACAAAAATTTTCTTTTGTTTGAAATTGATCATATTAATAGATTTTTTAAAAAAGCACTTAAATTTGTTGAGAGAGCTTAAAAAATAGTTCAAATGTTGGTTTACACTGGTTGTCGATCCCTTTTTTAATTTTAAGCCTTAATAACATTAAAAATTATCTGTTTGATTGATTTAACTGTTTGACAAACAGTTATTGTAAAATTGTTAAATATAAAATGGTTGTTCACGCTTTAATTAAAAGTTGAAGATGAAATACAAAATTGACAACAAAGCAATAAAAAACAGTTTTTGCAAAATATCTTCGGAAAACAGAAATAGGCACCATTATTTTAAATTTTTCTTGACTGCCGACATTAATTTGGTTAGTTTTCGGAAGACATTTTACAACCGCAAAAATTATTCTATTTTAATAGATTAAGAAATGTGATGCTTACTAAATTAACTGCTGGTTAGAAAAAAGTCAATTTTTCAGCCGCTTAATTAAAAAATACGAAACGAAATCAAGGATGAATGTAAAATGAAGAGTGAAGTGAAGTACCGATTATTCTTCATGTTTAGTGTTGAAATTATTAAAACAGTTAGCTCATTTTCGTAAAATTCACTCACCTAACTAACGATTCGTGCTCTTTAAACGCCCTGTCTTTCCAGTAATTCAGCATGTCGTACTGCTCGTCGGTGTAGGTCTTGATCCTCTGCTCGACGGCAACGGATTCCTTACTAATGAACTCGGTCATTATATCGCGGATCGACCTGAGGGAGGATTCGACATCCAGAGGCGGAACTGAGGAACGAACAACGTTAAGTCTCTCGCTCAAAATATCAACAATAAAAAAAATTTACTTTGAGCTGGTAAGAACTCAGAAATACTTCTGGATCTTACGATACTCATGTTAAAATTAGACGGAGAGACACTGTTATTTCCACATGAGTTTCAAATACAAATAGGTAATTCTTTTACATAAAAATGTCTCCCCTCCAAATCGAACAGAATCATTTGAAGTAAAAATGACTTTATTCGGCAGTACTTACAATACCTATATGTATCTGAACTTTTGTCTTCGAGGCCTATGTCGTTGGGATTGACGACGATGTTGTAAATCGTGGAAAAAATATCGCTTGACTTGACGGAAGATATCGCTCCAGAATTCTGCAAGAAAAAGCTCATTTCATACAATACTTTTCAGAAGTAAATAGGGAATATTGAGGACTTGAAAATTGTAAAAACTAAATTTTATTGTCCAAAAATATCAAATTTTTGGGTACCTATTTCATAAGCACTGTATAAAACTTTATATGACAGAGCAAAATAAACAAACTTTTAAAAATGAAAATCTTGATACCGAATTAAAATTTTTTTAAACATGCTTTGTATTTTACAATGAAAATAATGTCATAAAACATTTAAAAATGATGGAAATGGAAACACAACGTATTCTCAAAATTAAGAAAGAAAAATTATATAAATAATGACTAAAATTCCGTATATACAGTATAGGAAAAATTAAAATTATTAAAACTGGTTTTCAAACCAATAAAACGTTAATATACAGGGTGTTTCTAAAATAGGGTTCCAAACTTCTGCTGCGTTTATAACTCATTAAAATAAGCCAAAAAGTTCCTATTAACATGTGCCCTAAAACGCACCCTTATGAAGTTATATGCCCTTAAAAGGGCTCAAACAAAACTGTTTTTTTTTCTGTTATTGACAAAACGGTCGCAAATAAATAGAAAAAAATTTATGGGTCTTACATAACTTTTTACATTAAATAACATGGGCTACTCCATTTTTCGACATGCAAATCATATGCGTCCCATTTAGGTTGGTGAAGGGGGTTTTCAGCCCGTAATTTTTTTTATTTCAATTTTTTTACAAGTTTCTCTACAGATTTATAAAATCTTAACAATTTTACGTAAAAAATATTATCTTTGTCCAAATCGATATTTCCAATGGTTTTCGAGTAAATTGAGTGAAAATTTTAATCCCTTTATTTTCTATTTCACATTTAGCTATTGCCTGCAGTAGTAATTAGTTCTTTAATTAGTAAGTGTAACTCTAAATTTAAATAGTCTTAGTTTATGTCCTAAATTATTTATTAAATGACCGGATCCTTCATAACTGCAATTTATTTGAAAAAAACCAGTTTTGTTTGAGCCCTTTTAAGGGCATATAACTTCCTAAGGGTGCGTTTTAGGGCACACGTTAATAGGAACTTTTTGGCTTATTTTAATGAGTTATAAAGGCAGCAGAAGCTTGGAACCCTATTTTAGAAACACCCTGTATATGTATTTTATCTGTAACTCAACCAAAAAATTAAATAAGAGTATTCTAGTGCATATTATCCGTAAATGTAATAAACATGTCCGTGAAACTACAACACTTAAATATTCAAATTAGTGAATATTAAAATTACTTGTTTGTATTATTTATTCATGTGGTTATATGAAATTGAAGTTCCCAAATATTTTAGAAAAAAAGATAATACTACAAAAAGAAAACTCACAGAATAGTATATTATTTTGTAACTGGAAGATCCTCAAAAACGAAATAAATAATAAGATAATAATATCATGTCTATAAAAACAGATAAACTCACATTTGTCAATTTTAGTTGAACAGCAGATCGTTTCCAAAACGAAATCAGATAAACTTTTCGAACATTAACAAATATTGTGAAATTAATAATGAATTTATTTAATTCTCATCTTGAGATCTTAAACTGGGCACAAAAATATTGTTGTGTAGGAGTTAATCTACAATTTTTTTTATAATTTTTAATGTGCAGCATGGTAAATGGCAAAATACCAAAGTGAGAAAAACTAATCGATATTTAGTGAAAGCTCTTGAAAATTGAAATAGTCTTATTTTGATAATGAAGCAAGGGACCCATAATGTTTTTAGCTGAAAATTTCTAGACTTCCAGACCCATACACAGCACACAACAAAAATTTTGAATGAATTTAAAAAAAAAAATTTAAATGACCGATCCTGAAGTCTCAAAAAGGGTCTTTTTTTGCAAAACTAATTTATCTTTAGAGCGATATTTATTTCATTTTATTTTTCAAACTTCATAATGATGTAACTTGAAGAAAAATGAAAATTTTGTGAAAAATAAGAAAATATCTGTTTGCATCTAACAGTTGATTATGAAAAACAATGTCTTGAAAATATATGTACACCCTTTTCAAAATTTCAGTTCACGCCTCTATTTAAATTTTTTATTTCGTAAATTTCAAAAGAAACTTTTTCATCAGGAAAATTCTTTATGCAAGCCTAGAAATATGGACCACTTTCATATTCGCGAGCGAGCCATCATTGTTAACATTGATATTAATTACTATTTTCTAACTTGGTGAAAGATTATTATTAATTTTATGTATTTATGACTCACATGAAATGCCATTATTAACAAGTTTAGACAAGTTCGAACTTGCCAGATTAAGAAATCAAGAAATGGACTGCTTTAAAATTCGATTCCAATTTGTTAATAAATAATTCATGTTTAATGAGATTAAATATATCGAGGAGAATGAAGATATACCATTTTGTAAATGTTGGTAAAAAACTCACACATACATTAATACAAAATGGTTTAACTTTAACCCATAAAAATGTATGTATGTTGGCCTTGAACACTGAGGTACAAAAAAGGGCCTTCTGATATTCACATTTGCTCAAAAAAGAAAATGTCCGAAAAAAGTACATAAAAATGAATTAAAAAAAAAAAGAGAACAATTCTCACCAATAACTTTGAATAGATTACAACCATCGAGGCCCCCTTCTGTCGATGCACCGCATGTGTATGGCAATCACAATTTATGCATCGAGAAATGGTCCAGGCCCCCACATTCCTCTTTTTTACCAGGCACGAATGGACTTTCGAGATGCACACTAGGTTCCCTATCTTCTGAAAATCCTGCAAAGAGAACACGTTTAAGATAAAGTTTAAGTCATGAGAAAAGTATTCATACCTGTTTAAAGAATTTGTCACTCTTCTCTTCATCAGAGAGGCCCAGAGACTCAGGTGTAACCTTCTGAAAGTCATTTGGAGCAGTCTCAATGGTGATATTCAAACAAAAACACGCTAACATCGTTGCAACTCTCAGACACACTTAACTACTATTCATACACTATAGGATTAGGAATAAGCAGAAGGAAACGAGGTTTTGAAACTATTAGTGCACGTTCGAACACATACTTCAACAAACACACACACACAGCTGATTTTGGAGACCAGTGGCAGTGGGACGTTTTTTGTTTACAGAAACCGTATTCTAAACGAGGATAGCACGAACGAAACACTTATTCGCCGATTTTCGTCGTGACGAATTCGAATTTGGAAATTTGTCTTCTACAAAAACACTTTCATCTACACACAACTGAACGATAAATAAGTACGAACAGGAAACACAAAGAACTGATTTTTAGAGACTAGCGGCCAAGGGAGCAAACTCGACGAACACGGACGACGGAAAGAAAAGTGCGTAATACAACAACTTGGGTTTGCGTAGAATGAAAAATTCGGGGAATTTAAATGGTTATTCTAGAAAACTTGGCAGGGGATGCGGAATTTATACTTTATTTGTTTATTTGGCGTGCCGTACTACTTATAGGGATTAGGATACTTAGCACCTGTTACCTGTTGTTATTTTTTCAAATGTTGTCATTTTTAGATCGTATTAACAAGTAAAGAAAATTGTAAGTATATTTAGATGCAGCATGTTTTCAATCTGTTTCATTATTTTGGAGTAAATACTCGAGAAGTATCTCTATTGTTGAATTAAGAGTTTTTATGTTTAATTTTACCGCCGTTCTAATCTAACAGGAGCATAAATTATAATTCCCATTATCTAGAATATTTATAACTTAAAACATAAATAGAAAATCACGGCAGTCTTTGTTTATACCGAGTGTTCCTTAATGATATGCGAATATTAAGGGTGTGATTCTACATAGAAAGTTAATGATAGTTTGCTTTATAAACTATGGTCTAAAAATGCTCCTTTGAGAAAATACGGAGTGTTGAAATTTTAGGAAAAAGAGGGAAATTAATTAATAATTTCGAAACTGCTCGACATATTTCAGTGATAGTTAATAAAAGCGCGTTTTTCAATACAAACATAATTTTTAGCTCTAACAGTGTCGTGCGTACGAGCACTAACTTTGATATTTTTAAAGTGGTAAATATGCCAATGGTTTTTTTCCCAAATAAAATTATTTTTGAAATATATCGTTCAATTCAAAAGATAAGAGCTCTTGAATTTTTGTCCTGCGAATTTTGAGGAATATTATTAAAGAACACCCTGTATGGTTTACAGTATAACACAAAAAGCAAAATTTTTTCGCTCATGATGTTTAAATTACAATTTTACCATAAATATTTAAATTGAAATAAAAATTGTTATCACAATTGTTCTATTAGGATTGATGGGTACTTATTAAACTAGGGGTTTACAAAAATTCACTCCGGGTGCTCAGATAACTATCTGAGAGAACGATATGTCTAAATCACTAGGGAATACTTTTTCGTAAACTTCTAATGTGTCAGCCAAACTCTCGCCACCGTTGTAGTCCCACAGGACAGAGAATTAATTACTAATTAAGACTAGCGGAAAGCCTACTTTGTAAAAAATCAAGTGATGATTACATTATTTATTCATAGAAAAGTTACATTTTATTTCATTGTTGGTTAAGTAGCTCTAGCTGAGCCACGGTTATACTTTTCATGCCTTCCTGCACAGAACTCAGGTTTCCCCTCCAGGAGTGAAGCAAATCACGCAACTGCTGCCATTGGGCCCGCCCAAAGGTCCGATGCATCGTACTGGATACGAAAACCTTGCGCGCCGCTTGGTCCATTCGTGCCCTTACCAGCTTGGTTTTCAACACTATAAAAAATTACCAAGAAATCAATATTTCGGATTCAACATAGTTTAACAGAATTTACCTTCGATTATGAAACTTTCCACCTCCTCTGGATCTATCTGAAGCTCTTTCTCGATAACGTCAAATGAGATTTCAGGAGTGCTCTCGGCAAGTTGCATGAACGACAACAACCGCATTTTCTGCATATTTTGCTCGTGGTTTAGACCTGAGAAAGAATAAATATTGAACAAACTCTCAACAAATCACTTACAAACTAACCTTGCGTCGTAACAAATTCCTTGTGTTCCTTGTAAAACTTCAAATAAGCGGCTAGATTTTCACTGACAAATATGTTCAACAAATCATGAATGAGTTCCCCTTCTAGGAATCGGACAGGCTTCAGAGACAAAAGGGGGTCCAAAAGAAAAGTCTTCGGGTCAGCCAGCGCTGATACGATACAACGAATCGCATCTTCTCTTGCATGTGAGGCGTTTTTATCCGTATATGTCCCCAGTAATTCGATCATTACAAGCGCTGCTTGCCCGCTAAAAATTTCAAGAGGATTAATATCTTTTATACGTAAGGTAAAGAAGTATCTACCTCTGGTTACTTTTCAGTAGAACTTCATGTAAAAGTCTGTATAATTTCTGCAGTTGGTCGCTGGAAGGGGGACAATTAGCAAACTGCTGCTTGAGATGCTCGATATCCTGGTACACTAAACGCACGGAATCGGTTTGTTTGGCAATTTGTATGAGGTGATAGTAAACAGGATAACGCATTGGCGAACGATCGTCAAGAGACTGGAAAAGCAACCATAAACTAAAATGTAAAGATGTAAATAGTAATTGCTAGTACAAATTTATATTACATACGCTCTCAAACATACTAATCCTAATTTGGAGCCTTGTGCTTTCGTTAGCTTTTCACAGAAAGCTAAAATAATATTTTCAGACCTTTCTAACGGAATCTACAAAAGAATAGTATTAAATACATAAAAAAATTAACATTACCAATTAGCAACTTACCAAAACCATGATTGAGACGATATCATTTAAAACCATTTCCACCTCCGTTTCTTGGCCTTCCTTGAAACAAGCGTCGCATACGCCGATGATTTTATGTAAATCATCTTCAATGCCTTTCGGAGACTTTTCTTCGGATATTTCAGCCCCCAAGCTTTTTAGGTATGCTCTTAGTTCTTGAGCCTATAAGTGAACATAACCTCAACGTGAAAGTCATATGGCTTGATGTTTCTCAAAAATAAGATTTTAAAAACTACTTACTTGATCCTCGAGGGACATGTCGATAAACACAGGGGGTACTTGCATGTTGAATATTCTATATGTGCTTATTTTACTACAAAAATAAAAAATTAGGATTTACAGGTACACGGCACCAAATCGGTGCTTCAAAGATTCTGTTGTTTGTCGATTTCTGATTTCGAATTTGAATCGATTCGATTCGACTTTCGAGTATTTGACGTTGATAGGAAGGTCACGTCATCGTCACAGAGGATAAAGAGTCATTCTTTACTTAAGCTGGTCCCAGACGATGTGGCGAATGCCTTCCAACGTTGGACACATCGCCATTTGCCACATCGTGTGGGCGGACGTTGGCGAATTGTATGTGTCCAACGTTGGCTACATGCCACGTTCGGGTTTCTGTCGGTAAATTTAAGCCGCATCAAAGGAGCTTCCAGCGTTGGAAGCATGTTAGAAGCATCGTTCGTCATACACCCACACGAGCGATCGTGTGTTTGATGTATTCCAGGAGCGGCAAAAAATTCGTCATTCAACTAGTTTAGTTTTTGTTTTGTCTATAAAGTTATACTGAATATTGTAAATATAATATAAAGTTTTCAAAGTTTGCACCTACTTTACACAAGTGAGTTATATGTTAAGTAAAACTTTACTAATGTCTTGAATTTCAAGAGATTTTATTTAGAGATATGTAGCCTTCTAACACGTTTTTTTTTTGTTTTTTTTTGTAATAATAGTTTTGCCGGCAGCAATGTCAACAGTTGTTGTCTCTTCATCTTTAATTTTTTACTGTTCTGTAAATCTGCAGTATGAGTACGACACTGACGAACGTTGGCCACACATGTATTTCTAATATTCAACAAAAGTTCACCCCATCGTGTAGCAGACACACTTGCCATACTTTTATGATAAAAATTGTGTCCAACGATGGAACGAACATTGGAACCAACATTGGAACCAACGTTGGACACATCGTCTGGGACTGGCTTTATTTATTTCTTATTTCACACGACAGCCGTCAGCCGTCCCATGGTACGCCGTACACTGGCACGGGTCGTGTGAATACTAGATATGTGTTGCTCTTTCACTGTCTGCTACTTTGGCACTGTTCCGCAGTTGTCACTGGAGCTGACTGTTCCGCTGCGACAAAAGAAGCAGTGATTTTTCGGAGCGTTTACTTCAAAGTGCAATTTACTAGCGCCAGAGACAGCTCAGGCGTGCCGGCCACAGCAGAGCAGATTCTCGCTCAGCCGTTGCGATCTGCGCTTGAATTAGTCACAATGTCACACACTAAACATATAATACAGTGGCGTTTGATTTAAAGACATTGTATTTCAGCGACTAGAGCAATGCGTGTATTGTGGTTGCTGCTCTACAAATATTTTAAAAGTTTTTGTTTACAAAATCACTTAAAACTTAGACTAAGCAAAAAACATGCGACTGTTCTTCATTTGTTTTTGTTGCACTCACGGAAAAATTTTGAATATCTGGCATTGTACTCACTGTAGGATGTCGTCGTTCTGTGTCTTTTTAAATTGGCGATTGAAGATTTATAACAAATATTTTGCTTGGATAAATTACAACAAGCTTTACTTTCATGCGTTGGTAAAAATAAATTCCACAGGAAAGATTTTCTTCGTTTATCCATGTCCAATTTTATTTGTAATAATAATTTATCAGTAGTAACTTAGGACAAAATAACAGATAACGCTATATCAAATTCAAATAAATAATGCAAAAGCAAAATAACAAATTGAGCTAAATCTACGAAAGTTGGCACATGCTTGAAAAACAGCGCATGACGAAAGTATCCCTATTCCCTAACGCTAGCCGCTATTAAGCACGACAGGTGTCGATTTGTGAACTGTGACGCGAAAATAAGGGATCATATCACGGTAGGAATGTATGCGCGCGCTACCAGGAGCTGTTCCGAAAAATCGCAGCTATTTGTCACTGCTCTGTTGCCGGAGCAGTAGCAGGTGTAACTGCTCCTCAAAAAGAGCAGTTTAGCCCATCTCTAGTGAATACGCCTATCTATGTTTATTCATGTGACGGAATGGTGGACCATGGAGACTACACTAGTCTAGTCTCCCTATATATTTTGTGGGCGCTCCGTTTTCTTCTATTATATAATTTGTGGTTTCCCTGCTGTGGAGTGTGGACTGTCCATTATTCGGTCACATTAGAAAAAAATATGTATTGGTGTATTCACAATTCTCACGATTCGTGTCGTGCCATGGTACAGGGCAAGGATATTTATAATACATTAAATATCCTTGGGTACAGGGCATGGGATGCTTGTCGTGTCGAATGACTCAAACAGAATAACTAATAATAAGTCCAAAATTAACGTCATTTCATTTAGGCATATATTAATTAATTTGACAGGTTTTTCTTCCAAAATTCATAAATTTGAGGCAATAATTGAGGCCACCTTGAAATTATAATTTAGATTGTTAGATTATTATGTGCTGAAATTCTGTGATAGGATAGGTATTATATGTTTTGTGATAGGAAGTATACGCTAGAGATGGATACATTGGGAACTATAATCAATTGCAGTTTTGACATTATTGGGTATCATTTCCCCATTTTGCAAAATACACCTATCAAACAATAACTATATTATTTTATCGTACAGGCTCTCATGTTTTGATTGTTTTGTGTTATAGGCCTTTTTTTGCGTGTTGCGAGTGAAGTATGTGTAGTATGTATTATCATTGTATAAGTAAATTATTATTATTTACTTATACAATGGTATTATGTATAGCACAAAACATATAATAGAATGCATAGTATGAGTGAGTGAAGAGATTTAAACTACCATGACAATTAAGATCAAAAGAGATAGAAATAGTAACTACAAATCAGATATTGATATTTACCAATATTAGTCGCGAAAAAAGGCCTTTTGTTATTCTATTATTTTGCTTTAAAATTTTGTTCTATCCTATCAGATTTTTCTTTTTGTTTTTTCCATATATGTAATACTAGTAGTAGTGTAGTATTATATATATGGTTTTTTCCCTTTCCCAACCCAATTCCAAATACCAACTTAAAAGTTGCCATGTCGGCAAGTGCCCTTGTTTTAACTTAACGTGTTCTGTCAAATTCGAGAGGTTATTTCCTTAAAAAGATAATTTTGGTTCCTAAAAGGTGATGCAATCAGATTTTTATGAATTATAAGTTGTAGTTTTACCTGACGACACGTTAGTCATCAAGAAACCTTGAAAGTGGTTACATGTATCGTGGGGAAAAACCGATTCCAGATTTTATAACCTAGCGATTTTTAAAAACTCGAGCTATCGATTTAAAAAAATGTCTAAACGGCAGCAGCCGCGTTGGTCACCTCCTGAGGCTACGCAGAAATTCGTATTAAGGGTTTACAACAGTTTAACAAGACAGAAGGAAGAATTTGTGCCCATATCAGGAAAGAGAGTAACATGGTACAGCTGCGGCCCAACAGTGTACGATGCTTCCCACATGGGGCATGCAAGGTTCGTATATTTTAGGGCACAATAAATGTTTAATAAATGTTCCATCATTTTCTCTAACAAAACCATTTCTAGGTCGTACATTACCTTTGATATTTTACGTAGAATACTCTCTGACTATTTTGGTTATGATGTATTTTATGCCATGAACATTACCGACATAGATGACAAAATTATTAAAAGAGCCAGGCAAAATTATTTGTTCGAGAAATATGCTTCAGAAAAACATTCCCTACAAGAAGTTATTACTGATGCAAAACAGGTACTTTCTAACAAAGTCATTGATTTATTTTATTTCCATTAATTTTTTATTAGGTGTTAGAAAATTTGTCCAAGAAAACGAAAACAACTGTAGACCCGGACAAAAAGCAAATGTTCGACAAATTATTGGTGAGGTGAGTATAACTGCCCCCTGAAAAAATTCAGTATAATATGTACTTCATTCAATAGATTAACGGAGGCAGTCGAGCAGTTGGAAGATGCGGTTAAAAGTGGCGATGCCTCTAAAATTGAGGAATGCCAGAAGAAATACATCAGGGAATGCAAAGACCCTTTGTCCGATTGGTTAGATACAAAGTACGGATGCACCGTTAAGGATAATGCCATTTTCAGTACATTGCCGCGACATTGGGAAGAAGAATTTCATAAAGATATGGATGCTTTGAATGTAAGGAGTATTAAATCACATTTCTCAATGTGTACTTTATAATTTTCCTCGTAGGTGCTTAGGCCGAACGTGCTTACTAGAGTGAGTGAGTACATACCAGAAATTATTTCGTACATTGAAACGATTATTGAAAACGGGTTTGGTTATGAAGCGAATGGGTCAGTATATTTCGACGTTGCTGCGTTTGACAAAAAGGAAAAGCATCACTACGCCAAACTGGTGCCAGAGGCGTATGGGGACACCAACAGCTTACAAGAAGGAGAGGGTAAGATATTTTATGGATGTGCTTCGATTTTAATTGGAATATTTTAAATCTTTTTGGAAAAAATACTCAAAAATTCGCCTTTTGAAAATCTTTTCCTGTTTTTTTAATTTCTGTTATCACTTCTGCGATTTTATTTATTGCAACAGGAATGTGACACTCCTAATAGATAAAGTGTTGCATTATGTATTTCGTAGAAACATTGGTTATATAGATTTTGCACACATTTTTCAAAGTGTTGACTAAACAATTTTTATGTTGCATCACTCGTTTTACCTGTTTTATTTGCTTTGGAAAGCAAGACAATAGCAAACATTAGCAATATGTATCGCAATACAGTTCAACAACTTTAAACACCGATTAACAAACCGTATTTGTGTTTAAATAAAACACACCACTTGTTATTTCAACAAGAAAGATTTTATTGATGGTGAAATGAAGTGTTGGCTTCCTTTTAAAATTCTGTATAGATATTCAAATTATTCCACTTTAATTGTTTATTTCAGAAAATACTATGAATAAAAAATGTAGGGGGCGATTATATTTATAAAATAAAAGTAATGGTACAAGTTACGATGACATTTTTTCACAAACTCAATAGTAATAGACGTTATTTAACTTCAAAATATTTTTTTTTTAGATTAATATTTTGCCATAACTTTTTTCCAGTTGAGCGATTTTTTCCAATTTGCTACATTTATTTTTTACTAATAATAGACTGCACCTATAAGAAAAAAAAGTCATTGAAATCTTACAGAGATCACCTGTTTAGCAAAAAAATTAAACTACTATTTTATTTGTTTTTTTTAATAACAGAATTTTTAAAAAGCAATTTCCAGAAAAACACGTTGAATGTTTTGTGACATTTCATGACAAAGTTTTTCGTTCATATCTCTAAATTACTATTTTTTAATTTCAAAGTTTTGATAAATTGGCTAATGTAATCAATCAAGGATGGTTTGGCAAATGTAAGCTCTTAAAGTTGTGTAAAATATAATTTTATTTTATATTCAAAGAGCGACCGAAAAAAGCCTAATTTCGCCCCTTTGTGAGACCTCGTAAATTTACTCCAAATGTGTGCCAAAAGATAGTCTATGATGAGACTTGAATCGTCTATAAGTTTTAGCTTGAGGCTACATTTTGTTTTCGAGTTTCGGTTGATTAAAGTTGTCATTTTTACATGGATTGTTGGATCGAGGTTACACCGCTAAAAAAAAATCGCTTGTACTTCACATGTGGCATATGTATTCCGAAGTACTTTTTCGCGCTGAGCACGAATTTGCTATTAGAATTGCTTCATCACCCTTCGGTCTTCATGAAATGACTGAAAAGCTTCAGAAAAATTAAGAATTTCGAAGATAGGTTAGGAATTTGTGATTAATACACATTTTTTTTTTCATGGTTTCGTTATTAATCCCTCAATTGAGCTTGAATCTGATGTGATACAGGTCAACCAACTACTGAATCGAAATTAGAGACTTACATACTTCCTTCAAAGTGGCGATATATCTTGCTCATATAACATAATAAACTAACAGTCCAAGATTAATTCTTTGACTTCCAAATGACCTGTAGTCATAGAAATTAACGAACCTTTGATTTTAAATCAATGATTTCGTCAACCTTTCTGGGAAAGGTTTCTGAAGACCTTTCCCAGAATCTGAAGTCATAGAGATTAACGAACCTTTGATTTTAAATCAGCGACTTTGAAAACCCTATAACAAACATGTAAAAATGACAACTTTAATCAACCGTAACTTGAAAACAAAATACAGCCTCAAGCTAAAACTTATAGACGATTCAAGTCTCATCATAGACTATCTTTTGGCACACATTTAGAGTAAATTTATGAGGTCTCACAAAGGGGCGAAAATTTCGGTCGCTCTTTATTGTGCAGAATTTTAACCATTTTTAAGGATGCTTCATGACATTAAATGTGTTTATTTTTCTCAAAAAGAGTTAAGCCTTTGACTTAAAACAAGAAGACCTCTTCTGAGATTTTTTAACGTTTTATATGAAACTGAACTTTTTGAAAAACCACAAAAAATTGTTTACCAATTCTCTAGTCATTTATAATTTTTAGGCTTTTAGATTTTCTTTTTTTTTTTTGTAGATATAGTTTGTTATAGATACAAGTGTACCTATCAAATGAATGATTTTAATTAAAAAATAAAGTTATGGTAAAATATCAAATAAAAAAAGTTCCTTGATGAAATCCCTACATTTTTTTATTCAAGTACTCTGAATATGTTGAAATACTTTTGGACACATTTGACATTGTAGGGATCAGCTAATTCATTTAGGAAACAGAGATTATACGGTATTTTACGCTACTAATCTGTTTAGTCATTGAAAATTAATGGTATGATTAATTTTGACAGGTGGATTTGAAATAAGCCTGTTTCCCTTATAAAATGTTCCAATATAGTTAGAAACTTATGTATTTCAAAAAGTAAAGTGACTACACTGCAAACAGCAGCAGTGGTGCATAGTTGAAAACTACATATTTTACAGAACCAAAAAACCTAAAATTCATTCTCATAACAGTTTTGATAACCTTTCGTGGAGATTAAAATGTTTGTATACTCCTTTTTTTTCCTCTTTTACAATTATTCTATAAAAATAAAAATTTTTATGAATATTATTTGTTGCAATATAAGTACTTGATAATGAATTAAATTTGATAAAAATAATTAATTATTTCATGTCTAATAGAAATATTTTGGATACTGTCTGTGGTACTTCACCTTTTTTTATCTGGCCAGCTGATGCTTTGATTAAAATTTTGCTGTATAATACAAGTAATAAATATTTACAATGTTATGTTAAAAAAATGCAAAATATCTTCATTAGAATAATTATTTTGCATTTTTCTTGTCGAGCAAATACTTGATACTTGTAGACTACTGAATGACAGTACCAATATTTGCCTTTCAAGGCCCATTTGATGATATTTTTAACGTAATATTTTTGAGAATGTAAGTAAACCGCAAATATCTGAGAAAATTGAAACTGTGACTCTTACAAAGCCTGTATCGGTGAAAAGAGTACTTGATTTTCTATAATATGATGCAGAAAGATACAGGGTGTTCCATTTGAATTTAAAAAGTTTGTCAATTTTAAGTTTTTAAAATGTAACGTGAAAAATGGGACACTTAGTATAATTTCCTTCAGGTAATTTTGATAGGGGAAGGTAGTGCATCTTATGTCCTTTGTGTAAGTATTCCAAAAAGCAAGTGAAAGCTCCCAGAATGAAGAAAGATATAAGAAAATTTCGAAACGCTTGCATCTGTCAAAATTTTTGTAAAATGACGATTATCTCGAAAACGATTAGTATTAGGTAGAGGGAAGCTTTAACATTTTTGATTTATTTTTAATTTGTCTTGCCGATAATGCAATAATATGTAGGGTGTTCCATTTAAAATAGTAAATAAGTCGACAGCTACTTCCCGGTATAACCGGAAGTGTTACGTTGATGGCATTATTTTCATTGAAGAGAACATATCTGATAACCCCCATAAACAAAATTTCAAAGTCATATTGTCTTGTTTCTCTGAAACGTCTAATAGTCCACTTACCATGAAGAACCCTGTATAAAGCGAAGTAAACTTAGTAAAATAACAATAATGTTGGAAATATATCAGTGCATCAGTCAATCAGTTATGTTCGTAATTAATTTTAAGATGTAGTGAATTTTAAATTTAAAGATATTGAAACTTTTGCATACAATGTGTTCCAGGATGGGTCTGGAAGAAGGATAACTTTTTTATTTGTAAAATTATAAGAAAATGTTATCCTTCACAAAAATTTCTACTTGTTCACAAACTCTTATAAAATGTGACCACAAGCATGATACTCAAATCTTTTGAAATACTGAATAGTGTTACTAAGAAATTTTGTTTTGAAAAAAAATTCATTTTCTCATTCACATCAGTCAGATGGCTTGGACATACATGGGATTCCCATAATTAAGCTAGAAATTGTTCAACAAACGATATTCAATTAAAATCCATTGAATTCAGATCAAGGCTTCTGGGAGGTTTTAAAATTTTGCTACATTTACTCATTATTGAATTATGGAAGTATTGTTGAGTTAATCTGAATTCAGAAATTTACTTGGCAGTATTTTGTCACTATTCTGCAATAAAAGTTAAAGCAAACTGTACAAGCAATTTCGTTAATAACACCTTTGATTATAAAAATTTCTATTTGATACTATGGACAGGTAAATAAAGGAAAAAGGACAGTGGTGTGACATTAAGCTTCCTATTAATAAATGGTACAGTTAAAGCAAGGTCTAGCACGTCACAGTAGTTATCCGTCAATTCGTTGCAGTTTTATATATTTACAAATCGCCAGTTAAATAATGATTTCATACAAAAAATAATAATAATATAGGTTGAGTTTCTTGCCACATTACTTCATTTTTTGTGAAATGGAAAACACCCCAACCTCGATGTTTGCTCACATCCCAAAAAGGGAATATTAAAAAGACAATATAATTTGAAACGTTTAATACCAATCCAATTCATTTATCATTTTCAATCATCTATTTTTATTATCATTTGTTAGGCATATTCTGATATAATTACGAGTGCCATAAGTATGTCCAAACCACTTAAGTGATATGAAATTATTTAATTATTATTATTATTATTATTATTATTTTAAACAATTGATACTTCATATTTTACAACATTCTTGGAATTACTAACAATACCACTTAGTGACACTTTTTGATAGTTCAAAAGATTTGGGTACTTACAATTAGGAAAATAGTAACACTTTTATCAGTTTGAGGACAAGGAATAATTGTTATAGAGGACATTTTCTCAGAAATTTGCAAATAAAATACATAGTTGAAACACACTGTATATATGTAGTAAGCGAGTTAGATTTAACATAGAACTCAAGGGTATGTGACAGTACCTACTTTTGAAAATAAATAGTATTTTTCATATGAATCCATTTTCAAAAAGCTCCTACGAGAGTTTTTTTCGCACACTTAAATATTACAGCAAATTTCATGTATTATCTTTTGAAACTTAGTAAATTAAAACCCAAGTAATTTCCCCAGCAAAGTCATGAACAATTTTTTTTAAACAACTGCAAAACTGCAAAAAATGACATTTTTTAATATCTCGAAATATTATGGAATTGTCTTACTCTCAATAGGATTTTTGTAGAGAATAAAAAAACCTATAAAATGGTGTTTTGTGCGACCCGATCTGTCCATTTTTTACAGAGAAAATTCGGAGAACCCCTAAAATAGACCTTTTTTCAAAAATTCATAACTCTATCAAATTTGAAGCTGGAAAAAGAATCTTGCGGAAAATTACAAAATTATAGATAATAGTATGTAGTTTAATCCTGTCCAACATGGTTTCTGTCCGATGCATAGTTTTTGCACAATTGCTTGCTTGCTCTTTTTTTGTACAGCTTGGCGATTTATCAAATGTTCCGATTTAATTTCTGAAAACGGCATCTGAAAGTAGACGACAAAATCTCCAATTAAATAAAATTTAAATAAAAATGCCCTTGAAAGTCGCCTAAAACAATCGAAAGTACACTCGAGCCAGAGTCCTCCGCTTGCTGCTTCCCTCACCACCGTGTGGAGTGTACTTTCGATTGTTTCAGGCGACTTTCAAGGGCATTTTAGCATATTTCCCATCACCCAGGCGAAAATCCGAGATATACAAATTGGATATTTTGTTGTCTACTTTCAGATGCCTTTTTCAGAATTTAAATCGGACCATTTTTGATAAATCGCCACGCTGTGCAAAATAAGATCCTAATTCGTTTATAATGCAATTGTGCAAAAACTATTAATCGAACAGAAACCATCTTGCGCACGATTAAACTACATATTATTATCTGGCATTTTCCGCAAGATTGTTTTTCCAGCTTCAAATTTGACGGAGTTATGAATTTTTGAAGAAAGGTCTATTTTAGAGGTTTTTCCAGATTTTCTCTGTAAAAACTGAACCAATCGGGTCGCATTAAAAACCATTTTATAGGTTTTTTTATTCTCTACAAAAGTCCTATTGAAAGTAAGACGATTTTGAGATATTATAAAAAAAACAAAAAATGTATTTTTTTGCAGTTTTTATTGTTTAAAAAAAAATTGTTCACGATTTTGCTGGGGAAATCACTTGGGTTTTCATTTACTAACAATAAGTATTTTTCAAAAGGTAATACATAATATTTGCTGTAATATTTATGTGTAAAAACAGCCTGTTTTTTCGCTCTGTTGGTTGGCTGTAAAATTTTAAAATAAATGCAAATTTTTATATTTTCCAAACTAATGCAATGGAGATATTAAAACTAAATTTGATACACATTATACCCGTCTTAATATGTGGTAATCAACGGTGGAGACGGTGGAGATATGAGCAATCGCCTTACTACATCATTTAATAAAAAATAGTAGTACAGTCCTGTAAAAATTAAATAATTATTTGCATATTTTTGTGAAGGTTAATTTGAATGGAAATGTTACTTGATATTTTTTAATATTTCCTACAGATTCAAATCAAATTCTTTTTTTTTTAATATTTCGTTAAATTACCAGGAAAAACTACGACACTGGATTTGTCAAAATTTTGTCTAAAATTTCTCACCTAATTTTAATTAATGATTAAATAATTTTTGAATTACATTTATTTTTATTTATTACAAAATAAAACAAACCACAGAACCAGTGGTGTCTGGTAAACATTAAAGTAGTCATATTTTGATTATGAAACATGGAACTTTCATGACTAGAAAATTTCAAATAAATTTGCAAAATAAAAAATTTTAATTGGGGTAGCCTCACCAAAGATCTTGAAAGGATTGCACAAATATGTGTAAAAAATATGTACTTTGTTGTAATCAACTAATAGATACTTATTAAACTTTTATTTGACGTTAAAGTTCTATTTTTTTAAATCTCGTGTTGCTGCAAATTTAAGAAAAATTAAGATTTTTTGAAAAATAAGAAAACATTTGCTTGTATTACAAAAAAAGATAATTTGCGCACTCATACGTGAAACCCTTTTATAGATATGAGGGGAGGCCACCCTTATTGAAGTTTATTTTGCAAATTTTATTCAAAATTTTTTTGTCATGAAAGCTGAATGTGTAATGCCTCATTATCAAAATATGGAAACTTTAATTTTCACCAGCCATCACTGCACAGAACTTTTTTTTTTGGATTTTTTATAACGGTTATTCAGATCTCGCTGGTTGCTTAGTAGACTATGTGGGAGGTTTTATTTATATTTAAAAGTAGTATCACATACTCTAACGTTAAATCTAACTCATCCTGTCTTGCAATGCAACAGAATAAATTCATTATGAACTAGTCTACAAATCGTATTAACTTGCTTTTGAAGGAGACTTAACGACAGCGGATCAGCAAAGCGAGAAACGATCGCCCAACGATTTTGCGCTATGGAAAAACAGCAAACCCGGCGAACCGGCTTGGGATTCTCCCTGGGGTCTCGGAAGACCCGGATGGCACATCGAGTGTTCCGCGATGGCTTCCAACATTTTCGGACCCGACCTCGACATCCACACGGGAGGAGTAGACTTGAAATTTCCCCACCATGACAATGAAATCGCCCAAAGCGAGGTAAATATTTGTATGATATCTATTCCTCTCTGTAGCTTGTGTGGCAGAAGTGACGGTATATTATTAATTAATTTAATGATTTCTTTTTCAGGCCCACTTTTGCAATCCCGATTGGGTAAAATATTTCTTACATTCGGGACATTTGACCATAGCTGGCTGCAAAATGTCCAAGTCTCTAAAAAATTTCGTTAGCATTCAAGACGCTTTATCTAAATACACTGCTAGACAATTAAGATTTGCTTTTCTCTTGCACTCTTGGAGGGACACCCTCGATTATAGTCAGAATACAATGGAGTGCGCGTTACAGTATGAAAAAATCTTTAACGTAAGTGCCGTTTTCAGATTGTCACGAGTCGCTGCAGTGTTTTTGTTTTTTAGGAATTCTTCTTAAACGTTAAATGTGCTACCAACAACTTTTGCTTGGAGAAGACGACATTCTCGACGTTTTCAAAGTGGGAGAACCAGGAAAAGTCTCTAAACACCAAATTCTTACAAGCTAAAGATGGTGTCCACACAGCCCTATGCGGTAAGTTTGTACAAAGTTGTAGTTAATTTATATCGATGACTTGACTAGCGAATGTGAGTGGTGTTCATTAAAAGTGTGATGCAAAAGTATAACAATAGCAACTTTTACTCCTCAAGGATATTGTGACATAATAATTACGAATACGTAGTATTTCTGTTAGAGTAGATACAAATTGTGTTATCAGTCTATGAATCCACTCAACAAGTAGTAGACGAAAATTTGTGGTTAAATATCCAAAAAATTGCAATGCAAAACGTGTAGAAAATATTACAGAAAAATCGTACCAAAATTTAATGAGCGGTTGTTGAAGTGTATTCGATTAGATTAGCAGTTTATGAGAAATATTATTTGACTGTTTATATGGCACTAATTTTTACAATGAAATTAAACACTTTCTCATAAACCAATAGATTAAAAATTAAAATAATTGTTATAAAGTGAAGCAGTAACATAATCAGGCATTTTCGTTTTGCCGAATCAATGTTGACTGTTTTTTGGCCGGTTCGTGCCCTGCTGTCATAACACATCAGGTGGATTGATATTATGTAGTTCACCTAAACTAGGTCAGTATTAGAGGTCATCGATACCGAGATTCACAAACTAAACACAGTGCTTTAAAAAGATAGCAGCAAATACTTTTTATTATGAGCTTAAAATGATTATACACTAGGCACAGAAATTAAGGGGTATTAAAAAAAATCCCAAAATTTTGGGTGATTTTCAAATAGCTGTAACTTGAAGGAAAATGGTCGTAGAGAGATTAAAAAAATGGGAAATTGAAGCTTCAGGTGTCTAGTTTTCAGATCTGCAGCTTAAAATTTTTCAACATCAGCAGTTTTTGAGTAATCATAAGAAAATCAACGGAAGAAAAATTGTAAATTTTTTCGTTTTTAAAAAGGCCTATGGACTTTAATTTTATCATAAAGCTCTTTTAGATAATTTAATTCTCTTCAATTTGAGCGGCTCCGGAACCCTTTACAATTATTTGTCGCCAAGTTATTTGAATAACTTGGCATAACTTTGCAAATAATGAATAAACTAAAGATATCGACTGTAAATTTTCAACCTGTCCTAAAGAAACCCTGATAATTTCAAAACGCTGCGATTTTTTTTTTGGCAATCCATATTTTCTTCAACAAAAAAATTCATGATTCTAAAAGAAAATTAAAAAAAAATTTTTTCAAAAATTATTTTTTTCAAACTTTTTTTAACATATCCACAACCTTTACAAACATAAAAAAAAATTTGGTTGATTTGACATTGCAGATCACAATTTAATATCGGGTATTGCCGCCTCTGTCGTTAATGCACCGCCGCATTTTTTTTTTGACATTTATTTTGTGAAGCTTGTGGATATATTAAAAAAAATTTTGAAACTTTTTTTCTTTTTTTTTTAGAATCGTGAACTTTTTTGATGAAAAAATATGGATTATTGCCAAAAAAACATTTTTAACTTTAAAAAATTAATAAAAAGTGAAAAATTACTTATTACATTTATTTTCAGCAAAACACAGCAAAGCAAATTTAAACATTCTGGACACAAGGAAAAAAAATCGCAGCGTTTTGAAATTATCAGGGATTCTTTAGGACACTTTCAGGTTGAAAAGTTACAGTCGATATCTTTAGTTTATTCAGTATTTGCAAAGTTACGCCAAATTATTCAAATACATATCCCTAATTATGCAATTTTTTACCTTTTTTCTAACCAACATTTTCACTTTGAAAAAATTTGTTTTATCAAAAACCCACAATTACAACTTGTAGAGAATACCTTGCAGTTTCCAAAACCCTGCTTGGATTTTCTGTAGGACCATTATTTCCCGAGTATGTAATTGATTGCCAGTCAAAAGTGATTTTTTTGCTTTGATCGACGATAACTCAGCGACAAATAATCGTACAGGGTTCCGGAACCGCTCAAATTGAAGAGAATTAAATTATCTAAAAGGGCTTTATGATGAAATTACCAAAAAGAAATTTTTTGATGTCCATAGGCTTTTTAAAAAAAGCAAAAATTAAAAAAAAAATTCCGTTGCTTTTTTTTTATGATTACTCAAAAACTGCTGAAGCTAAAAAATTTTAAACTGGAGATCTGAAAATTAGACATCCAAATCTTCAATTTCCATTTTTTTAAATTCTCTCTACGAACATTTCCCTCTAAGTTACAGCTCTTTAAAAATCACCCAAAATTTTGGGATTTTTTTAACATCCCTTAATTTCTGTGCCTAGTGTATTTCAAATCTATAAGATTAGCAACATATGCCTATCCACATGCAGTATTTGTTAATATTTAATCAATCATGCAAAATACTGGGTGTCCCGAAAGCAACAATCCATTCATAAGAATAGTACATATATTTTTTTTATATCTCAGAACCCTGTTGTACGAGAATCACTAAATTTGGTACACAGGAGTTTTATGACAAGTGGAATCTGATAATGCTATGCTTTTTGGAGGGGAACACCATCAAGACACTTTTTAAACATTATTAGTCCGCTAGAAAGCTATTGAATTTAGAAACTTTCTTGTCTCTTGATATTTTTTTCATAAAACGCGATGTTTTCGAGACATGCATAACGTGATTCGTGATTCGTATGAATTTCTACGTGTTAATAATAGGTAGCTGATGCATTCGATCACATTTTGCCATTTTTTAAAAACATTGCGTTTTACGAAAAAATATCATGTGACAAAAAAGTTTCTAAATTCAATGGCTTTCTAGCGGACTAATAATTTTTAAAAAATTCAAATATCCGAGCAAATTTTTTTGGCTCGGAAGACAAGGAGGCCCATGGAAAAGTGTCTTAAAGGTGTTCCCCGCCAAAAAACGTAGCACTATCAGATTTCACTTGTCATAAAACTCCTGTGTACCAAATTTAGTGATTCTCTTAAGAATCTATGACCAAATTGTTTTGCATATATATAGTACTTGTTTTTAAAAAAATATTTTCCATCGCAGTTTTGCTCTCTAGCACATTGTTAATTTCATACAATTGGCTTAAAAAAGTAGTAACTGGCAACATTGATAAGCGTGCACATACAACAGAGTTCAGGAGCTGCTCAGTGGCGGCGTAGACAAGAGTTTAAGCAAAGCAGTTTAAAAAAACAAATGACAACTTTACTATTTATTTGATTAAAAAAAAAATGAGATTATTATTTTGAGGAATATTTACTACTCACTTAAAGTTACAATCTTATATTAATTGCATAAATAAGTAGCTGTGCACGAGGCACACATATTTATAAATTATTTTCAGATAATATCGACACAAGGAACGCATTAGATGCTCTCAGGGAACTCGTTACAAGCAGCAACGTCTATTTAAGGGAACGGAAACCCCCGAATAAACTTCTGTTGCACGATATAGCCAGCTATATCACGAAAATGTTAAAAATTTTTGGTACCATCCACAAACAGGACATAATCGGGTTCCCGGTTTCCAAGGAATCGTCAAACAATGCAAGTAGCCGATTTCGATAGTAACATATCTGTTTTAACAAAGTAATTTTTTAGGTCGAATGTGTGATAACTCCTTATTTAAGGATAATAGCCGACTTTAGGGACAACATTAGGTCACAGGCTAAAACTCTGAAAGCGACTGATATACTCAAAGAGTGTGATAGACTAAGGGACGACGTTTTACCTAACGTCGGCGTTAGGCTGGAGGACCGGGAAGGTAAACGAGTAAGTTATCATTTCGTAAGTCGATAATAACGATTTTATTTCTAGGCGAGGCGAGTGCCGTAAAGTTGGTTGATAGGGACATGTTACTGAAAGAAAGGGAAGCGAAGAGGAAGGCTGAATTGGAGAAGGCCGCCGAAAGGGAAAGGAAGAGGGCGGAGCTGGCCGCTGCCCAAGCGAATAAAGAGGCGTTGAGGAAAATTCCACCTACGGAATTGTTTAAATCGGAGGTTGATAAATATTCCAAATTTGACGAAAACGTAAGTAAAAATAAGTCTTTTCAGGTTTTAGCTTTATCGTAATGCGTGTTTTTTTGTATTAAGTAAGGTGGGTTTTAGCGTCAGCCTTTGTTATTTCTAGGGCATTCCGACCCATGACATAGAGGGAAAAGAGATCAGTAAAGGTCAACTGAAAAAACTGCAGAAACTCTATCAGGCCCAAGAGAAAAAGTATAAAGAGTATCTGGCCTCTCAGGTGCTGTGATGAACGTGGATGTGTTTAAAAAAATTTAATTTATACTGATATTTATACTTCTCATTTTCCTATTTATAAGGTCTTTTTTCTGTTACCCAGTATTCTATTTATTTTACCATTAAATCAAATGTAGCTGATTCTATAAAAAAATGGCCCTTAATTTTCCTATATTCCAAAAAAAAAATGAATGATTATAATGTAGTTTGACAGTTTGGTGCATGATTAAAGGGGAGATGTGGGAGGGATTGGAATTATATTTTCTTCCACAACAAACTGAAAGCTTGAGAAAGGCTGAAGAGCCTCGTTACGCCACTGCCATGATGAAGCAGTAACTATTTTGTTTTTAGAGCAATGGAGGCAGCGTACCAGAGACCGAGAGTGTAGCGGAGGTTGTATAGAGAGAGAGAGAGAGAGGTATAGGAGGGTATATGCTATATCTCTCTAGCAACATGCGATTGGTTCTGCCGTGAACAGTTGCTTCTGTCGTTGACAGGGCGAGAGGACGGCAGCCAATCGCGTGCTGCTAGAGAGAGATAGCATATGCCCTCATATACCTCTCTCTCTCTACAACCTCCGCTACACTCTCAGCCACTGCGACGCTGCCTCCAGTAGTATATGCTCTAAGATTTTGTTGGGGATTTCCGAATCTTCCCCCAACTAATATTAACGATTGAGAGTAGAGCTGTAACAATTCTCCGCGAACCAAAAGCGGATCATGGTAGGTACGTAACGGTATAAAATGAACAATGGTTATAAGATTTATGTCATTGAGAAACACGTAAGTTGTTCTACATATCTTTATCATCAGTTCTACAATCTGGGTGGGATAAAAAATTTCGTCATTTTGTTTTCTAGATGAACAAAGAGATTTATTAATAATTTTATATTTACTTAGCGTTATTTTGTTTTTGTTTTTAATATAGTATGAATTTGTTGTTTTTTACCACTATACACGTTCGACATAATTACACACAGCTATGCACCAAAGGACATCGCGAAACTAAAGTCATAAATGAAATATCTAATCGTTCAATTACAGGCTACTTGGCAACTAAACCGACAGCTAGGCAGATTGCGTGGCTGACTATCAGCACCATTGACCATCGGACCGGTTGTGCCAGCTCTATTACACTTAACATGATGCATACGCTTATGTCCCGTGGCTCAGTTCTGAAAGCCCTATTAATGAGATAAGAGACTTGCCTGTTGCTGTTAAATATGTAATTTTCAAACTTAATCTGTGAATTCCATGCTATCCGAAACCCAAAAATAGAAGGCGATTTGCCTACTATAGTAGACAACTATTAAATGTTTAGAAGGGTATGTGTACCAAATACCGCGAGTGATCTACATCAGTCTTTATTTTAAATATGCAAATGCAAAATGTTACACTTTCATTGATAAAAGTATGCTTTGAATTTGCTTAAAAAATCTGATGAAATTTTTTAATTGCCGATTCCATTGCTACTTTCCCACAATATTTTAGAATTATGGGATTCTTTGTAAGATAATAATTCGAAAACAGAACATATTATTATTAAAGCAAGTAATAAAAAAACTATGCCATTAACCTCTGCCACTGGACTATAAAGTATAGAATATATAGGAATATATAATTATTACTGTAACAGTATAACACATTTAAAAAATATGTTTTTCGAAAATTCAACATCCACTATCTCAACGATGAATTTAAAAGGAATACAATTTTCACATTTTCTACCATTTTAAAGGGAAACATACATACCTATTTTCTTAAATAAAAGAATTAACCTGTATTCTTTAAATTATGCACTTCAGGAATATGATTTTTATCATCAGTGGTTTGTAACATAGTAAAATTTTTCCTTTCTCTAGATTAGACGCCTCATTTTAAACAAATTAGTTATAACGCAACAGAGACAAATTTCGATGGACGCCACAGTTATAATTTTAATAAAAACCACAAATACGATTTATTTAATACACAAAAAATAAAAATTTGTTTTTTTAATTCATCTGATCTACTTTCTCTTCTCAATTATTGGCTTAATAAGCTACGCTACATTGGAACTACCTATCATATACATACATAAAACAAAGAACGCTTAAGCTGTATTATTGACTAACTTCACTATTCTTCATTTCTCACATTATTATTTCATTAGAGCATTACACTACATGGAGGGAGCAAAGCGTGTTAAAAGCGATAGTTTGGGTACTCTTTCTCTCTTTGTCATCATTTGTGTGAAGAACGAGTTCCATTAGCCAATAATATGCCTACGCGAGAGAGAAAAATAATATCCAAACTATCTTTTTCTCTCTCATCACTCGTCTAGAATTTTTTGTCGTAAGTGTGTTCCTCCATGTAGTATACGCTCTAAGTTTATTTCATAAAATAATACAGCTGCTGCCATCTTTCGAAACTAACTAAAACTAATTATGGTTTATGACTAATTTTCCCTAAGAATTATAACACTTGAGTATATAGTCAAGGATTATATACTCTATATGGATAACTTCACGCTGTCTACATCAAAGTTAAGAATTTTAAAGCAATCCACAAACGAAATTCAAGTCTCTGCCATACTCTTGTGCCATTATAGGCGCAAACCACTGGCTGCGATGAAGGCGAAATCAGTTTTTAAATTTCGTGATAGTTCAGTAGATGTCGCCGAGTCAATGGATACTGATTATTTATGAGGTGTCCTTAATGTATTTGAATTTGATTTTCTGTTAAAAAAATAATCTTACATTGACAAAAACATTAATAATAGTTTATCTTAGTTAAAATACCAATCAACATTCAAAATAGCTGAGATAAACTTATATTTCTTTCAACAACGTTTGTCGAGTGTTCTTCGTATTTTTTTTAACTAGTTTTTGATTTTGTAGTGTTTGTTGTAGATATTGTTTTTTATCCGGGCTAATGTTTTTATCTTTGCCACACACGCCGTGAAAAGAATCCCTCGATACAATTTTATTTCCACGGTGAAAAAATACGAGTAGGTCGTGTGAAAAACAAAAAAGACACTTGAAACGTTTTTCCTGATTGGAGCTAACAACCATATTTTGCAAATTACGTAAAGTGTAACATATCAAAGGCTAAGAGGGTATAAAAGGTGACACGAAATCCGATCTAAGTTCCAAAAGACGGGAACGATTGTGACACATGACATGCAAAGTCATTATGCTATCGGGGCCATTATTGACTTTGGGCCTACTCGGATTCCATGTTATTCGTATTCTTTCTCCTCTAATGTGATAAGAAACTTGTTTTTCTTTCTGGGATTGCCGAAATTTACTTACAATATGATATGGCCTACATCAAAAGGCCCTTCAGTCTTAAACAATACGAAATATCTTTTATATTCTATTTCTACTACTTACCTTACAGTATTTTTAACAATAAAACTTTAAATAATAAAATTTCGATCATTGTTTTCAACTTTCCTGCCTCTAGGTGATGGGTCAAAAGATCATTGATTATTATTAGCTATGATAGTCAAATCATGATAATGGTTGTCGCGGTACATTTTTTTTGCATGTCTAAATATAGGTACTTCTTTAGAACTTGGAGGTGTCTGTAAAATCTGGGTTCTCTGATATTGTGAATCTATTTAATTACTGGCGCATTACCTGTATTAGTGAAGTAATTTTCAATTTTATTTTAAACTAAATAGTAATTATATAAATTTTGCATGAGAAGAATTTTACTACATATTGGTTCAGCTAGTACCTAACACTATAAGTTTTTGGAGTCACAATCTAGACCTCATATTTTTAACAATAGGGTGTAATAAAAAAAAAGACTACAAAAAAGAACAAAGTGGGTACTGGTACTAAAATTCCATTTTTATTTCTGGTTTCTGGGTGTTATACAACGGACTTTAACCGAAAATCCATTGTCTCCTACCAGAGACAATCAACGTTTTTCACGTCACGTTATCTGATTTTATTTATAAATTTTAACAAAAAAATGCTCTTATTAGTAACTTACACCCCGTATAAAATGTCAAAAACTGAGTGACAGGTACCCTTAAAGCTAGACAAGGTGTGATTGTCACACTGATTTTTAATTGTATAACTTTTTTCCAAGTATTTGAAACATTATTTTAAAAAACCCCAAGTTTTGCCTAAAATCTATATAAAATTACAGTCTTTTGTGCTCGCCAGCTTCAAATTCCCTCACTCCCCCATTTGCCTATTTTGCACCCCTGACTTATTGACAACGAGTCACTCAATTCAATGGATGTTAACTTTTATTTCTTCCTTGCACGATATTGTGTTTCTAATTTCAAAAGTTCCCAGTGCTGGGTGTGGTGATTGACAGCATTTTTTGCATATTACATCGCACTTAACAGAGTGAGGAGCGCGCGAAATCATGTGAAATTTTAAGGGCTCTCCAAATCAGGACAAAAAATAAAATACGGTTAAACGTTTGGTCTAAAAAAAAACAGTTAGGTACTTTACTGCACGACATTTTAGTCAGTTTCATAAAAGGAAATACTTACACTCTAATAGAGGAAGAATAATAAGAATATGATTTTATATTTAAATAAAATGATATTCCAAAAATGTGTGCAAAATGATATTTTCGTATGTATGCTGACCAATAACCATAGATAAAAATATATATAGAAAACGATACTTCATGAGCAGAGGAGCAGAGGGTTAAAATCAAAAATGAATCACTTTCAAGTTTTTGTATTGTACATATTACGGGGGCCTTTTGATTTGGTAATAATATATTTGCAGCTAAAAGCAACTCAAGAGTTACTCTGAACTGATATTACTTGCTGATAGGTACTATTTTTGCTGAATCGAAAACCCTCACAGAAATGAAAACTGATTGTTTACTGAAGAATTTAAGGTTAGGTTTAATAGTTCGTTGTAGTTTAAATGAAAAAAAGTAGGTACTTAAAATACCTGTTAATAATCAGTGTTCAGTGGCAGTTCAACTTACAGAAGGTGTCAATTTTTTATACAATCACTCGCGACTGTTGTGGTGCTATCCTATATCATTCATCTCGTTCAGGTAACATTCGTGCATCCGCGATGTGGCGCGTTCCAAGGCATTAAACACTAATCCAGGTAATAAATTACTTATCCCTTACCTGCCGTTGACACACTTTTTGCGGCCTTCGCGTACAGGTAGCCTTTTC